AAGTTCATACTACAAGTCGATTAGTTGTTGACACTTAAACTCGTTCTTTTCTGAAAAAACATATAAATATGCGTGGGTTCCATAGAATCCTAGTGTTCCAGGCAGGTGCCGAAAATGGTGAAGGTGATGGATTGCAAAATGCAGTATAAACTGAATAGAAAGAAGCACATATTTTTATCGATAAGAGTTATACAGGGTGATCCAAAAGTCGTGACCAAAAATGAAACATCATACACAGGACCGCATCTTAAGGGGAGTCTTCTATGTAACATTTTTTCCTCGATGGCTTCATTAAAAACATACGCGGCGTTGAAGTTTAAAAATAAAAAACAATTTTAATATCTTCAAAACCGCCAACTGGAATGAACTAAGACTTAGTATGTGAATTTACCTAAGTATTGTCCACATTGAAAAGTCTTTACTAAAAATTAACGTGCTCCAGTGACGCCCCTGTTCTTTTTCGAAACGCGCAATTTTTCGAATTTTACCTTCAATTTGCAACAAATAATTACTCTTGTGTTTTTTCCTAGAGTGCATTGTTTTCGTAAAAATAAAAAAAACAAAACAAATTAGATAATCAAAGCTATATTTCAATAAATGTTCAAAAAGACCACCATCCTGACGGATACATCTTTTTAATAAAGAAAAGCGTATTTCCGCAAAATTTGTTGTGACTTGAATTTGATGAAACCCATTATCCATTCTTTCTTGTAACTGATCAACAGTATTAATTTGTTCAGCATAATATACCTACTCGTTGTTTAAAAGCGCAACCCAAAAATAAATTCAGAAGGTTTCTGCCCATCCATCGCAGTCTAAAATGATTATTTAATCATGCGGTTATGCCACGACGAACATGAGGTGGGGCACCGTCGGCGTCGTGCTGATACCACATTCGTACTCTCGTTGCTAACGGAACATCATTTATCACATTTTCTACGTAATTCTCTAGAAAAGCTAAGTGTGAGTTTGCATTTAAACTTTGTGGCAATACGAGCATAAACAGTTGGCCATGGAAAATGTCGCACCAGACATTTCTAGAAAATCTTTGTTGAAACGAGTGGATTCTTACAGAACTGGGATTTTCTAACGACCAAATATGTTCATTATGAGAATTGAAGGTTCCACTTCTCATAAAAAGCATCTGACCACAAAACCAAATCGATAAAAACTGCATTTTGATTAGGTATGCATTTATTTGCAGTAACCACACACAAAAATTTCGCCGTTACACTTCGTCGCTGGGTTGCAGACATTGCACATTTTGCCGATGGTAAGGTGTAAAACTTCAATACCGTGTATGCTTTTAAAGAAGCCCTCTAAGAAAATAAGGTCCTGTGTATGATGTATCCTTTTTGGACACGACTTGTAAATCACCCTGTATATTATAGTCATCGGCGTTGTGGAATGGCAACATTTGGCGCTTACCTGGTACTTGATTTTAGATGAAGCCACAGTTTAAATTTTCATGGCAGAGTCGAAGTTCTGAGGGTGGAGCACATGCGTGACGTCATACTCTGAGGACTGTTATCAATAAACATTCGCCAGATGTCGAAATTATGATTGCGACTGTCCTAACTTGTAGATGACGTTTCGTTATCAAATATTTAGTAGTGAATAGTCGTTTTGCTGCAACATGACCCACGCTTTCGTCCATTGCCGAATAGTTCGTGAACTATAAAAAGTGTGTCTTCCTAACCCACATAGAGAAAACAATTTCGGAATTATTGGACCAATTATCCTTCCTGACCTTTACCGTTGATATCGTTACATACAGTATTCTTAACAATGATTATTCTAACAGCACATTTTTGAATGAAAATAGTCTGTAAAATGACCATGGATGGTGTACAGCTTCACAAACAAATGTGTTAAAAATTTTAGTATCTATTGAAAATTGAAACTGTCATCAAACATACTTAGGATGACTCCTTCCAATCATTTATCTCACATTAAAGTCGCCGCATTTTCTCCTTTTTGTCCTCAACCAAATATTTTTTGTAGACCATCGATATTCATGCAGTTGCCCTACAAGTGGAAAACAATGGATAAACCTCTTAAGGCGGCTCCGACGCAGTGAGTTTCAATCCATTTACAAGAGCTCAGCTGCTTTGAAACTGACACACCATTTTTCAATATTTTTGAATGAACTTCATACAGTATGTTCAGAAGACAATTGCCCAGGGTGCTATTGGAGCACTTTTGAAATTTTGTTTTTGCACAAGATTTATGGTGGGTTGAAGTGCTTACTTTTTTTGTTAAACTTCGCAATTTTTTAAAAAAGAACCTAGTGGAAAAAATGAAAAAGTGTCTCGATATCATCCTGAAACGTATTGTTCAGCACACTGTGAAAATTTCATCCGATAATATTGAAAAGTGGAGCGTCAGCTTAGAAACGCGCAAACCTCTACCAACCGGATTTTGCACGAATATGTACAAACTAAGAAAGGACGTATTTAGATAATTTGGTGATCCTATTTCATATAATATCGTGTATATAAGTCATCTGCAAATAGGTGTTCATAAACGCGATCACTGATTACCGCGAAGTAAATGTTCGTGACTAGTTACGTAAATGTAACTTCTGAACTTATGCCCCGGTTGTCTCTCTGATCTATACTAAGTGACATGTAAATTCGAATACCCAGTTTAAATGGTTGTATTTTAATAAAATTTTGTATAAGTACTTAATGAAGCATAATAAGTAAATGATAAAAATTTCAAAATGATTGCGCTGCTTTAAAGCCCTTTGACCTTTAATAATGTGTGGATGCACCCTGATGTGCTACGCATTCTCCAACGCGCCTAGGCATGCTTCTGATCAGGTGGTCAATGTCCTCCTGTGGTATCTCATTCCAGGCAACCACCAACTCCTCTCGAAGTGCTTCTAGAGTCTGAGGAGGACGTTGCAAATTGAGCAATCTCCTACCCATCATATCCCACACGTGCTCAATTGGGGATAAGTCGGAAGATCTTGGTGGCCATGGTAACAATGTGACATCATTATGTTGAAAGAAGTCTATTGTGACTCTTGCAACAAGTGGTCGGGCATTATCTTGTTGGAAAGTTGGATCTGCCTTCTACACAGCCGCAGTCAGTCAGTGAGTCACTAGTCACTCAACGTAAGACCCAAAATACCTAAATAAAAAATGTTTCGCATTCAAATTTTAAGCCGCGTCACGCGACAAGACCAATATGCCAATACCGCCGAGGACTGAGCACCGACCGACCAATAAGATATCGTACTTCGCATTAGATCTGTACGGATCTGTATAAATTGCAGCACATGCTTGATTTTGTAGAGAGAGACAGAAGCAAGCGCGTGCGGCTTGTGTCGAAGTAGTGCACAGACCCTTTTCAAGTGGTCCATGAATAATGTTACACTGCGGTCGCGACGAAAATGACAAGTACACAATTGGTCGATTATAATGCTTTTTCAGTACAAAACAGACTCGACGCCGTGTCTTGCAGGGGCAGGCCGGTATTGTTTCTATTTGTGTGATAACATGGAAAATAAATAATGATCAAATTACTACTGACTTTTTCTGTTAAGACAAAAGTTTTGGCAGTTCTGCAGAACTTAAGGGCCAGCCGCCCCTGTCTCACATGTTTGTCTGGTCAATAAAACCACATGTATTGACAGATCTTCTTTACTGTAGTAAGCGTTTCAATCGCACATTCCTATACAGTATATTACTATAATAATATGGAAGTCCCGTAACATTCTGAGAGTGCGCGAAGTCATCATTCAGAGTTTTATATGGCACCACACATTTTTCCGAAGAAGCCATACCCATCTAATTGACAGTTTAGCAAATAAAAAATACACGCAAGCCATCTTCATCCCCATTAAACACAGCCCATTAAGCAAGCCGTGCGACCATCATCCCCCAACCCCGTCAGGAAAAAAATCTGATAATTTCATCCGTGAAATGACAGTAATTCGCTTGGCGCTGTCCTGAAGTGCATGTCGCAAAACAAACATGTAACCAGTGTATAATAATAGATATTTCCGCAAGTTCCCATCGCCACCCCCCGAGAGCGTCTATAAAAGCAAACTAGGGCTATAATATTTTTTGATGGTAACCGCTGCCCATTGTCAAAGGCATATTGCCCGTGCTTATGAGAGCGTGCAAAGCAAATTAGGGGTGTTGCGTCCTCCGCGGGCACGGGGATGAATGCCAGATACGAGGGGAGGGTGGTAGTATACTGAAAGGCGGTTTTTCCTCTTCATTCCACAATATTGTAACGAAAACACCGTTTTTACTGTCTTAAGTCTAATTCATTACTCTACACTAATTTGTAACACTTGCAACTGAGTTATAACCTTGTCGAATGGACTATTATTCTATCTTAACTGCACGTTCGCGATTCACTGGGTCGACTGCGTCTGTAGACTCGACTGTGGCTGCCTCGTTCCGCCATCTGGTCGTCTATGTCTCTAATAACGAGCCGAGAAACATTCCAGCGTTTTCGCGAACTTTCATCAAAGTAGTCCAGACGGCAGCAGGTGCCTCCATGGGTCACAGTTAGCCATAAAGCTCTGAAGCTGGGACGCGTAGCTCTCGTCCTGGGTGAAAATGGACAGACAATCAACAGAAATAATGATAGGGTAAGCCTTTCAACACGATACAGAAGCATGCTGAGTAGAAGAGCAGAAAAAATCTTTTTGTTCTAGAAACACACATATACCTGAAAATAGCGTTTAAAGTCGCCGAAGCGTTTGTAATGTTTTAAGTTGACCGAATCCTAGGAATTTATAACTTGAATTGAGGATTAGAAGCATTGAGTTCAGTTTTTACGAAAAATAATGGTTTTAAGCTTAGTAAATAGTCCTTTTTCAGATTAAAACTCATTCATGGTGCATTTTATACCGTCGGAGTTTTCACAGCGGTGGGATAGTACCGGTACTGGAAAAACCCTTTCTGTCGGTGGATGCCCAAATCGAAAAAACCTCTACGGCTTGGTTCTGAGCTCTTTATCCATGTGACACGCAGATCTGACATGAACGTTGACATTTTTGGTTGACTTCAAGGCTATAAGTCCAACTAACACATTTTGAAATCTTGGTGAAAATATTAATAAGCTGACCATGTCAGAGCGACTACAAAGCTTATCCAAAGGCGGTGCAGCCTCGCATGTGTCTATGAGCCGCGGTAGGTCATCAACATTAAGAAAATCATCGGCGTCAATCGCAGTAAACCCATACGCAGACTTGAAAGAAGAAGAAAAGGACGAACTGGCGAACCTCACTGAAGATGAACTAGCCGAATTGAGAGAAACATTCAGCATGTTCGACAAACAGGGGGTTGGTTACATCACCACAGAAGAACTAGGTAACGTAATGCGTGCCATGGGTCAGAACCCTACTGAGGCCGAGCTACAAGACATGATCGATGAAGTAGACCAAGACGGCAACGGTGTTATCGACTTTGAAGAGTTTTGCAGGTGAAAAGCCCTTACCACTTCGGACTTATGTGCCCACTCCTTACTGAAAGGGAAACCCGGGCAAAGTGAACAGCTTAAGCGTTTCACTATTTTCACAGGAACGCTAACAAATGTAGAATATCGAAAAATATCTGAAATCATTATTTACTTATACTTTTTCAGAAAATATACAATAATTTTAGATATAGCCCTCAAGTACATAGATAATCAAAAATAAGGAGGTTCAGATTAAACCACTTTGCCCGGTCCCCTGCTTTGGGCTCAAGGCCCCTCCCAGAACCCCACGGCCCAATACATTTTACCTCATAATACAATATGCTATACCCGTTGTGACCACGAACCCCCTTCCTTCCAGATAGATCGAAATTGACCACTAATATGTTTTTGATACCGTCCGCCGCTTTTCAATTATCACTGCTATTTGCTCTCAGAAGCATTGATGTAGGCGCTCTTCAATTATCGACAACTCCCGCTCTTAAGTTTTCAGTCGCATGTGAAGCTAAACAATGCTATCATAATTTAATAATTTATTTTTGGCCTATTTATATGTTAGTATGTGTGGAACAAATCTTAGAACTGAATTTAGAACCAGTTAACCTCAACCAAGTGAGCTGAAATTTATTTTGTACATAAGTTTGGTTTGCGTAACAATACAAAATGATTTAACTGCTGCCATTTTGGATGCAATATGGCGGATGCTATAAAATTGGGATTCGTAATTTCTAATGAAACTCCTATGATATGCATATCAAATGAAATAACATGATGAGAGAAACACAACAAGCAAAATGACGTCATTCTAAATACAAATTCAAAGGGTGTTATGAGAGAAACCCGTTAAGCGAAGTGACATCATTTCAAATCTAATATGGCAGCAGCAGAAAAATGACGAATTACACTTTTTCACAGTCATCCCTATGTTATGGGTATCAAATGAAAGGGCGTTTGATGTGAAAAACACAATAAGTAGAGTGACGTCATGCTTAATCCAATATGACGGTCGGCGCAAAATGGCGATACATATTTTTCAGTCACCCCTATGATTTGGCAATCAAATGAAAGGGCGCTTGATAAGAAAAACGCAATAAGCAAAGTGGCGTCATTCTTAATCCAATATGGCGACCATCCCAACGTGGCAATTATAGTTACCATAGTCACCCCTATGATATCGGTATCAAATTAAAGGGCTTTATAATTTTTAATTTCCATTGTCATACTATGGATATCGAATGGAAGGGCTTGATGAGAGAAACATAATAAGACGTCATTCTACAGCTGGGGCACCACAAGGAGTGAATGGTAAAACCTGTCGTCTCTTTTCTTTGATTTGGGAATCAAAGGTGGGGTTGTAGGTCGAATCTCTTAATGAAGATAGGCATCATCAAGCCAGAGTGTCACCATTTATACTAATCTATGATGAGCGTATCTGTAATGCTGGTTGTAACTTACTGTATGAAATTCATTCAACAAGTACTTATTCAACATATCTATAGTATAAAATGAAGTCGATCGCAAGCATCAGACCTCAAAAAGCCATGAACGCTGACAATAAACAATTTGAATTCCAGTTACAACACCTATACATTACAAAATCAATATTATCTTGAAAAAATACAATTGGTTTTGTAGAAAAATACACTTAGCCTAATCTTATTAGACGAAAGTACCTCTGGTTTGCGAAGTAATTCTAAAGTCTGGTTTCACTGCTGCAAGTTGTTCAAGAGGGTATTCAAAACATGGACGCATAAAATGGGTACACCAATTTTTGTGTGAAAACTTTTTCTTCGAGAACAAACGACAACATGTTTTTTTGGGATTCAATCGAAAGTGTTGGCAGGAACGAAAAAACTCTTCATATAAGATTTTTAGGTACTTAGGAGACCTACAAAATGAGACCACAAGTAAACAAAACCGACTGATAGCAAAAAAAGTTATGGCCGAAAACCGAGGCAAACTGCAGGTTTTGGCACTTGTTGATAATGCTACGATGGTTTCTCGCAGATATTTGAAATTCTTCAAATTCTTAGGATTCGTACTTAATAACCACAACAAAATTGGAGTAGATTGGTCAAGTAATTTTTGAGAATTTATAATTGTTTATCCCAAAACAACTGTTTTTTGGCCATCACTACTAGTTGATTGAACAATAAATATACAGGGTTAGTTTAAAGGGCATTTTATATCATATCACACTAGTTTACCTTGACCATAGGAATCGCAAACCATTCCGGAAGATAAATGTTATTTTTATGCAAAAATGGATGGGTTACGTTTTTTCCTCTAAACAAATTCAAACATTTCGTAATTGTGAGTAATTTGTAACAAAAGATGATGGACACGTCCGCTTTGTTTTGAAATGCGTATAATAACGTATGTGTTTCGAATATCGTAGCGCATTTGTTCAATTACCCACAAATACGAAATGCTTGAAAAAACCCAACCTTTGTTTTTCGCATAAAAATAACATTTGCCTTTCGGAATGGTTTGTGATTCATATCGGCAAGGTAAACACGTGCATTTTGCTATTAAATGCTCTTCGAACGAACCCTGTATATTGCTCAATAAACTAGTAGTGATGGCGGGAAGACAGGTGTTTTGGGATAAACAACTGGAAATTCTCAAAAAACTACTTGACCAATATACTCCAATTTTGTTGTTATTTAGAAGTATGAATCCTACGGATTTGGAGAATCTCAAATAGTTGCGTGAAATTATCGTCGCATTACCAACAAGTTCCAAAACCTGCATTTTGCCTTCCTCGTTTTTCGGCCATTACTTGTTTGCTATTAGTCGGATCTTTTTACATGTGGTCTCATTTTGTAGGTCTCATAAATACCTAAGAATGTTATACAAAAAGTTTTTTCGTTACTGTCAACACTTTCAATTGAATTTCAAAAAACACGTTTTCTCATTCTTTGTTGTAGAATAAAAAGTTTTTCCACAAAATTTGGAGTAATTTTATGCGTCCATGTTTTAAATACACTCTTGAACAACTTGCACCAATAAAACCAGACTTACAAGTATTTCGCAGAAATATGCTAATATGATTAGACTAACTCGAAATCTTTTACAATTGTTTGCCGATTATTGAAGAAAGGTAAACGAATATCTTTGTACTGTAAAACAGGAAATTTGCTGTCCGGAGTGTTCGCTTTGCTCGAGTTTCCCTTGATATAATCTATCACTTTGCAGTATGATGGTTACCAAGTACAAAACTAAGTTTTCCGAGGAAGACATCAAGCAGGCGTTCAATGTGCTGGATACAGATGGAAAAGGTTACATAACTCCGCTGGAACTGAAACAGGTCTTGGTTTCGCTAGGTGAAAAGTATAGTGACGACGATGTGAAAGAGATGATCAAGGCTGCGGATTTCGATGGAGATGGTCGAGTATCGTATGATGATTTTTTGCAGCTGATGACCATGAAGTACAGTGAGCTGCAACCACCAGAAGAACAGAGCGATGGCGGTCGCGAATAATGTTCTGAGGTTGTGGCTAGATGACTACATAAATGTGACCCAAGGCTCTAGCCATAGGAGGCCACAGGTATCATAACCTATAAATGAAAGTTCTTTAATTCACCATAGACTATATATATATAATAAATGTATGTTTACCTGGCAAGCTGTTTCATTGTTTCTCTAGCTTCTAAGCTTGTGATAAGTGGAGCACTCCAAGCACCTTCACTACATCATTCTGGTATTTGTGGCTCCCACCCAGTGGCGGATTTGCAGTCTTGGCCGCTCTAGCCCCGAGGCCATGTAGCCGCCCCTTTCTCAGTATTCATTATATAAAGTTCATAATTTGATCGAAATTGATTCAGAAATATTATATATATATATTATAAGTATGATAGCTGCTAATTTGTAATACCTTGCAAGGTTTCAAGGATAAATGCACATTTAAATAACAGTTAAAACGGCTTTAGGGTTTATTTATTCAACTAGTTTAACTACAGGTTCATTCTCATACAATAAAAATAAGTGTTTTACAATGTTACAAAACTCATCTAGACCTACGCGCAGCAAAATCATTAATTAAGTCTTCACAAGTCCAACTTTCTTAGACAATCTGATTCTGTGTTAAGCAAAACAAGATCGTTCAGCCTTTTCTCCGTCATTGTGGTGCTTAAATCATTTTTAACTCGTTGCAAACAACAATCGATCGTTCTCGGTAAGAGTTGCTGGTGGCAGTACACACACACATTATGAAGAGCTATATCCACGTCTGGGTAAATGGTTTGAATACCTTCGGTTCATTACCATTTCAAAAAACTAATAGCACTTTTTCGATCCTCATTTTTTGCACTGCAGTGGGCACGAAAATGGAGACATTCTCTTCACCTGTATTAGTGTCGCTAGGAAGTAGCTTATGCTTGCGATTGCATCCAACATCTCTTTCATATCCCTGTACAAATGACAGTTTTTTTGGCTTTGTTCTCGAAATCATCGAAGTTATCTTGTATTTCGCCAATACAGTTCTACGACTATGGTAATGTCAATTTCCACACTTTTTTTACTTGTGGCGGTAATGCGATCCAGTAAACATCCCCAAAACGCAGTCATGATGGCCGTTTCCAAACGTTCCAGTTTCCGACGAGTGCCTCTTGCTTCGCATATAATGGCCCTCTTCTGTTGTGTGTCATTTAGTAAGATTATTGTGCGGCCCGCCATAATGTCCGTGGGTCTTTAGAATATTTAGGTACTCACTTACTTCTTAATATCATTAGTGAATTTTTTGTCACGATTGGCCGCCCCTAGTATCTGGCCGCCCTAGTCCTGGGCCTACAGGGCCTATAGGCAAATCCGCCACTGCTCACACCTACGAGCCCCTTCCCACTTCAGTTGGCCCAACTATTGAAATCTTAGTTTTTCTTATCAAACACAAATAATAAAAATGTAGCAGGGAGTTTTAGGTTTAAAATATTAACAATTAATATTTTGATAATATACAGGGCGACTTTGAAGTTGAGTCATTAATTTTCAGATAATGATTGTAGAAGGAAGATAAACCAAACTATGTGTGTAAAAATAAAAAAAAATAAAAAAAATTTTTACCTTGTTTTATAAAGTATCCTCCCGACAAGTATTTCAGTGCGGACCTGTATTTGATCGTGAGGTCTTGGAGCACCGGCATGCCGTCCATATGTGAGGTCTTAAGTCAAATGATTCACGAACCCGTTGTACTACATTAACAAAGGCACGAGGGGTTGGTTGCACTCGATTGGGAAACCGATCCGCATAAACATGTGCCATTTTTTATTTCGTTTGAGCCACGCAACAGACACCACTATCCACTACCGACTAACACTGACTGTATACAACTGAATGAAATAATTGTAAAAACATCGTTCCGAATTCTTTCGCTTTTTTGTTTCCGATGCGATGAACCGATAAGGCGAATTATATCCGTTGTCGCCAAACACGAGCACATAATATTATTATTGAGACAGGGCGGTACTCAAACTTCCAAAGGGCTATAACTTTGTTACTTTAATTTTACCAGAAAAATGGTAAAGGAAAAAAACATTTCTTTTGATCAGATCTACTCACTGTTAAAATAAATGACTCAACTTCGAAGAAAACCCTGTATAGTAGAAAATACCAACTTTATCACTCCCTAATCAAATTTGCAGCATAAAAATAACACATGTTGCAATTACAGCATATCAACCTATTTTCATTTAAATGCAAAATAAGTCTATAACGCATAGGTGGCTGTGAAAAATAAAAGCCATGACAATTGTTTTTATTAATCACAGCTGTCAGAATACGTTTAAAATAGTTGTGGGTAGTTAAGGTTTTCAAAATGGGTAGAGGAAAGGTTATTAGTGAGAAAATTCGGTTACTGATAATTAAATTTTTTAATTCTGGGAAATCAAACTCAGAAATTACAACTTTGTTAGACTTATCGCGGTACAGTGTGAGAAATATTGTTAGAAGATATAACGTAACTGGTTCAGTTAATATTAAGCCACGATATGTGAAAAAAAGTAATATCACAAATGCCGACCGAAGAGCATTAAGAAGAATAATTATTTACAATTGAGTGCTCTGTGGAGTGACGCTGTTTTAAGGAGAATTTTGAGGACCACAACTCATAGAGAGGCCCACAAACTGGGATTTAGCACTTGCAAGGTCAGTTTTCTTATAAAAAAGTGAAGTAAAAACCCTAAAGTTACACAACTTGTTTATAGGCCAAAGAAAAGCCACTATTAACTCCACTGCAAAAAAAAATCGGTTTAGATGGGCTAAACAATATAGACAATGTACACCTCAACAATGGTGTGCAATACAATGGAGTGGTGAGGCCCGATTCGAAGTTTGTGTTGGTGACATTCGCAGTAGAGTTATTCGCAAAAAAATGAAGCATTCCATGTTGACTGCCTGAAGAGAAAAGTGAAATTTCCAGCATCCATTATGGTCTGGGGCAGTATGTCATCAAAAGGAGTAGGAAAACTTCATTTTATTGCTGGAAATGTGGATACAAACAAATATTTGGCAATTTTAGAAGAATCGCTTTTAGCAGTGATGGAAGAATGTTTGACATCCGGCCAAGATTTTGTGTTTCAGCAAGATGGTGCAGCGTGCCATCCCTCAAAAAAGGCTATAAAATGGATGGAACAAAATAATGTACCACTTTTGAAATGGGTTTCTAGCAGTCCAGATCTGTCACCTATTGAAACTTTGTGGCACGAGATGAAAAAGATTCTACGACAACATCCTGCTCGTACAATCACCGAACTGAGACAAAAGCTTCAAGAAATATGGGATTGTTTTACACCAAATTTTTGTCAAAACTTGGTTAACACTACGCCCCAAAGAATTTCAGTTGTAATAAAAAATAAAGGTGATGTTACCCTATGGTAATCTTTCAATTGTTGCTTTGTTAACGCGCATTTAATCGCACGTTGTTTATTTGTTCAGATGTTCTATTAGTTATAGGTCTAGGTGATTTCAAATATGTATTTTTTACGACTAGAGTGTATCTAAAATGTTTTTGAGAAAATAAATTGTTATAGAAGTACGACGAAACTATTTCGTCATGTTTAGTTTATAAAGGCATATTTTGGTACAAATGTTGAAGTGGGCCAACTGAAGTGGGAAGGGGCTCGTATTATTAGTACTTCTAGCGACGCTGTATGTATTTAATTTGCTGGCAGGTGTAAATGTGAGTATGAGTAGGGCAAGTGCCTTGAAGAGAGCTTGACTACCGGCGCCCCTATTACGTAATTTAGAAATTGACATTATATAGATTTTTTATGACATTATTTAGGTTTTTTGACGTTATGTATGTTTTCCTATAAAATATCGCCTTTGAACTAGCTGACATTCTCTTCATGCTCTCTTGTAGTAGGCGCGGAGTGAACTAGCGGCTATCTATTGCACAAGTTGATATTTTACCGACTCTTGGACATTACATATGTTTTTCACGTAATAACCCTGTCGAAGATATCCTAATAAATTAATGTCATGTGCTTTATTGAACTTCAAAGAAAGGGCCGTTTTTCAACGCGCGGCGCTTATAGGAACATGCTCCTAGCCAGGGTGAAGGTCAGTTCAAAACCATTTCTAGTTTGTATTTATTAAATTTTGAGGTTTACGGTAGACGCCTGCACTATGTACAGATAGATGTCACACCCCCAAAAACGGTCGGAAAGCTAAGTATAGCAATGACATTCTATGTATTTATGGTATACCTACATATGCTGAATAGAATATGTATGCGTTCTGTCTCTGTAAACATGACCGACCGCTGTTTCCTGCTCTTTAGCAACTCATGCGATATAGCTATAGCCTTGAAGAGACAAACGGAAATGACCTCATGTGAACAAACTGATGTCAGATTGGGACTCTGACTACAAAAACTGATAATCATGACTGTTAAGTGCCAGATACATACTTATCTACTATACTATACATACTTTCATCCTGACCAAAAGGAGATTCCTATAAGCACCGTTTGTGGTTAAATCGTTTAGTTATACCATGTTAGACATGACAAAATTGATTTTCTTTTTTTGTTCAAAATTTTATTAGACAGAAACCTGCCAACGGGGCCTCCTCTTCTGGAATTACAATAGGTTCATATCCAATATGTACTTTTTATTACAACAAACGATAATTGGAGCTTTAAACTTACATCATATTTATATTTTCATCCATGCACAAGGATATTTCCCTTTTGTGGGATATCAATATTGATTCGCAATGTATCATCATTAATGTGAATGAATATTATTATTATTATTATTATTATTATTATATATGACCAAACATTTTGATAGTCTCGATTTTTCTCTCGCCAATCAAAACCGCATGTTTTGAAAAAAATCTTCTTTATTATAAAAGTTTCGGTCACAATGGTAACCTTCTTCAGACTTTGACGATATATTTTATCTGTCTTCCAGGTAGACCCATAGAGTGTGTTACTAATATAGTATAAAAGGTCCCATAACATGCTGAGATTCATCATTCCATTCCATTTTGATGTTTCCGATCCTACAATTTTTCAACATATTCTTCGACATACCCCTATATTTCAGCGTTTTGATTATCCCTATGTAGATCCGCCCCGGACGTGCACCCATGATGAGTGGCGCCCCCTATTCATCGATCGGTCGGAGACTGTAGACGACGGTGGAATCACCGCCGTCGCGACGGTGACGTCGACGCCGATTTCACGGATACTTGAATCTGCGGCCGTTTAAATCAATTAATTTATTATCTGTCACCGGAGACTGTATACATCCGAACAGCCCTTTGTGGTTTCCTGTGGGAACATTTCGCACGGCTAGTGCTGTTATGATTCAATTTGTTACGCTGAGAGCTGTGAAAGCATCAATTACGTCACGTTATATCGTTATTTGTTTATTAATGAGTTTACACAATTATAATGTTCATAATCGAGCGAAGAATTTCGAAAATGAGATATGGTATTTGGATGTCACATGAGATGTACCACCATGTCACTCATTTCCGTCTGTCTGTCGGTCTGTCTATCTGTATGTCCTCTAATCCTTGGACCGCCTATAACTTGAGAAGTACCGTTTGACTGACTTGATTCGCATAGTTTCTGTTTCACATGTGCCTAGCTATTTTTTTAATCAGTCTAACTTATGGCCTTCCATTTAAAATTCATTTTCAAACATAGAGACCAGCCGCCATTTTGAAATGTTCAGTTGCTACATTTAATGTGATCACCCCAATTTTAAAATTGCTGAGTTCATTCGCTCAAAAATTGAGTAGGGAGGAACTTTTTGGAAAGCGCTTCATGATTGACAAACATTTTTTGGCAATCTTCAAGTTACAAAAGGAGTAACTGAATTAAAGGGGAACACCACTGTACCGGCCTAGAAAAAAGTATTTTTTATAATCTTTTTATCGTGGAAGGAATGATACTAAAATAATATTATATAGGAAGTAATTAGGAATATATTTAAGTAACAAAAAAGAATATTATCTTGAAAAACTGTTCAAAAATTGCGGCACAACAGCAATTTATTTGTAACTTTATTTTTTTTAAATGGCACGGAGCATAACTCAAACCATTTATTATTTTCATTCGAACTTTTTACAATATCTTTGAAATAACAATTTCGAGAGAAATAAGTTAATTTAATCATCTTTTATTATCAAATGATTACTTTTTTGCGTCTAAAACTATGAACGTTCTTAGTTAGATACTCGCCAATCATACAAAAATCAATATTATTGAAATCTATTAAATAACTTAAAAATTTGCACAGGTTGTCAAGGGCCGTTGACAATACAATAATATAGGAAAAAAATCGACTTTTTAAACAATTAGAATTTTCAAATTTGGAATTAAATTTTCATTTGATAATTTGGAAAATAATTGGAAAATTTGGAAATATATGGGCCTGTATACAGTGGAGAAGTTGTGTGAAATAAAACTACTTCATAGCCTTAAACAAATAATCCAACTTTATGCGATTCATTATCACTAATTAGCTATATCACCTAGGTATATTAAATATCATTTGATGATTTGACAGTTCAAAAAAGTCATATTTGCTAAAATATACCTATATCTACAAAGGATTGTGAGGGAAATGTGTTACTGGGTAGTTATATGCCTCATCTTCGATACCTCTGAAACTGTCGATTAGAAAACTTATCATCATCATAATGTACAAAAAATTACACATTCAGCCAATTCCAGAGAAGACCCTTCTGACGTATGTTTGTGCCATCTCCTTTGCAACAGGTACACTGCGTGCCGCACGAAAATGTTTGCAGTTTTGCCATTTTTGAATACTTTAATAATATTTTTTTGATCATACATACCTATAATATGCTCAATAACTTCCGGCACTTCTTCCACAAAGAACAAAGCATAAAACCACTTTTTCAGACCATAACATATGGTGTCAGGCCCTTAATGCGTTACTGACGAACATTTCGGATTATTCTAATTCAAAATATTGTTAAATTATTCATTGAAGCTCATTGAACAGGCCAAGAATTGCGACTCACTTTCAAAAAAGATTTCAATTAACTTTCCTTTGTGGGGAATAAATTCAAAAACATATTAGGCCCATGAAAATTGTTTTAATTTCTTCTAATCAACTAATCACTTAGAATATTTTGTACTCTAATCAATTCTTGAAGACTATTTCTCTTATTCTTTAAAAATTTCCTTTTCAGTTGATAGATTTCAAGTTAAAAAACGGAACTTAAGAAAACGCATCATAATGCCAGGCGATGAAATTACAGCAGAATGACCAACTTTCACCTAACACTTGCGAGGTGCGTACCTACGGCCCGTTGTATTGTGATCTGGAACGCTAAGGTAGGTACTTCTTGCCTTGGTGTCAAGCTCTATAGATTTCTTCTCTAAACACAACCTTGCAAATCCCATTGTATTTGAAGCACCGATTATACAAATCCATTCCTTCCTCCCAACCCCCAAAATACACTCCACATAGCCTGCAAGTGATGGCAGTTTTTACTCCCTGTCAACAGCAGGACCGTCGTTAGAAACAGATATCGCTGTCGCCACCCCTCGCCCCTCCCCCTGTTAATGAAACAAGCACCAATGGCGATCCTTCCAAAGCAAATTAATCAAACGGCGCACTGTTATTGGCTGGAATGCAAGGTTGGCCTCACCCCTTGATCGATACCTTATAAAATAAATAGCCTGGTCATATTATGCTTATAGATAAAGCGGTCAGATAGAAGATATTTTCCATAGCCATGAAGCATGTTTTGATTGATTTAGTGCCATTGAATTGCTGGCTGACTCAAGCGGCAGTTAGCTTACAGGGCATGGACGCCCTGTGAATCCGGCTAAGATTTACATATTCAGCATGATTTTGTGCATAATTTAGGGGATTTTTAGGATTTGGCCTACTCTAACAAAATTTGCTACCCCTCGCTCTTCAACAATCTCTGGAACAGATAAACTCCTTCTCTTTAAAAAATGTTGGGGCAGATGCATTTCCACAAAACGTCTCTTGTCGAAAATCGGGCGCCCGTGTTCCGCAGTGAAGCTGACCAACTGACAGACTGATGTATGAAAATTAAAATTACCACTTACACGCAGTTTTACCGTTTGAATTGCAACTACCACACACAAAAGGGGAAAATTGTATGGGAGTAGTTATTTTGACTTTCTGACCACGAGCTATCAGTCCCCGATTCCAATGAAATCAGTATATGAATGGGCAGCGAGAAAACAATAAAAGTAGCAAGAGTGGTAAATTGATTTCCCAACTCTTTTATTGCAGGCTAACATCTTTTTGTCGCAATGAAGACATAAAAATCGCGCAATATTAAAAAAATGGCGTCAACCACATTTTTTTGGACCTCTGGTGTAAGACAACAATGTCAACAATGTTTGATGTCTGATTATAATATCTCTTGATACGTACTTATATACTAAATAGTATATATACTGTTTGATATCCGACGAAATCCAGTAACCTCATTACACTGCACTCCAAGCATAATGCCCATATATATACAGGGTTATCCAAATTAAGTGTCCACCATTAGTAACTTTGTTATTAGTGAAAATACAAAGTTGTTTGAATTAGCAAACTAGTAGCATTTTTAACGCTGGTAAAAATGAGAAATAAAAAAAAACAATTGAGAGTCGTTATTTTGATTTTTTTCAGTAAAATAACATTTTTTTAAATGGAAACCCCTGTATATTATATTTTTTTCTGTTAAAGCATCAAATTTTAAACAAAAAAGTTCATAATGACTTTTCCGCTAAAGTCAAAAATAAAGTCAAAATAACGATAAATATTTTTAATTATTTGCAGTATTATAATATTAAGACGGCTATGAAAACAACATGGCGTTCGCGATTTGACAGCATTAAGATAAGCGACAAATTGTTAAACTGGACATACTCGCAACTAGAAGGCTTTGGAAAACAATGATAAAATCAAATAATGTCAAACATTAGTGTAAATACTTGTTTATAAGCTTTATTGTGTCATTAATTTAAAGAAAAATGTTCTCCCATGAAGAAAAGTGTGATATGTTAGAATGCTATTTAGTGTGCAGAAAATCCTCCTTGAGAGCAAGAGAATACTACAGTGAATTATATCCCGCTCGCATTCAACCGTATGAACGATATTTTCTGAGACTTTATCGAAAATTTAGGAGCAACGAAAATGTTTTTGCTAAAACAAGGGCAAAAAAAGAATTCATAATAAGCGAGGCCACGGAAATTGCAGTTATTGGATATTTTGAAGCTTATCGTGAGAATTCAATAGCAGATATTCTCAAGGACTCTAATTTCAGTTATGGTACTGTTCAAAGGATTTTAAAAAAATACAAATTTATTCCGTATAAGTACCGACCAGTTCAAACGCTTTTGGCAGGGGATCCAGAGAGAAGACTTGTTTTTTGCCATTGGTATCTTAGCTTCTGTCGCCAAAACGTAAATAACTTTCGTTACCTTTTATGGACAGATGAATCAAATTTTTCAAATTCTGGAATGTTTAATAGAAAAAAACCACCATTATTGGTCAAGAGAAAATCTTTTGTTAGTACATCCAAGAGGCCCACAAGTCCGTTTCAGTTTCAACGTTTGGTGCGGTATAATTGGTTCAAAAATTGTTGGCCCGTTCTTTTATGAGGGAACCCTAACTGGTGAAAGATATGTGGAATTTATGTCAGAAATTCTGACTAATTTCTTAGACGAATTGGATCTTATAAGTAGACATCATCTGCATTTTCAGCAAGATGGCGCACCTGCCCACAACTCCAGAGGTACTTATCATTTTCTAAGTACTACTTTTAATGATCAGTGGATAGGAACAAATGGCCCAATACAGTGGCCTCCCAGATCACCAGATCTAAACCCACTTGATTACTTCTTGTGGGGTTACTTAAAGAACCAAATTTACAAGCGAAGGTACGATAACCTTGACGCGTTAAAGACTGCAGTTAGGGAAAAGATAACCCAGATAGATGGTAGGACCATACTTAAGACAGTTCGAGCAGTTGAAAAACGTGCCCAAAAATGTATTGAAGAACAAGGTGGTGTTTTCGAGCATCTTCTTAAAAAAAAATTGTTATTGTATTTTGTAAGATTATGAGTTGATGTTGAAAATAAAGTTTGTCGATACAATTTAATTGTTTCAGATTGGAGGCCATAACTTCAACAATTTGTAACCTAGGAGAAAAGTTATTGTAAGCTTTTTTGTTTAAAATTTGATGCTTTAACAGAAAAAATATAATATACAGATATACAGGGGTTTCCATTTAAAAAAATGTTATTTCACTGAAAAAAATCAAAATAACGACTCTCAATTGTTTTTTTTTATTTCTCATTTTTACCAGCGTTAAAAATGCTACTAGTTTGCTAATTCAAACAACTTTGTATTTTCACTAATAACAAAGTTACTAATGGTGGACACTTAATTTGGATAACCCTGTATAGATAATATCTCGGCCTCCTCGTATGTAAATATCACGTCACCGGGCGGTCCGCTACGTGCTTTCATGTCCCTCTGATACACTGAAAAAGATCCAGCATTTACAATAACCAGTTTCAAAGGCAATCTACATATAATGTGTGAAATATGTCTAACAGGTGCGTATACTTACCGGGGTTAGAAGTGCATTAATATACTTACATGAAAAAACTTAAAAACTTGATATGTGGATTGGTAACATCAAAAAATTCGAAATTTTTCGCTATAACAATACTTCCTCACCACGGCGTAAAAAGTAAAAAAATGCATACCGGGAAATGATTGTATGCACTCAAAACATTAGGTACTGCTTTTGCCAAGCGAATTGAGCCGGATAGTTATTATTTGAAAATTAACTATATATCTGATTTGCTAAGCTTCCTTAATATAAAAACATTAACAATTTTTTTTATACTCCAACTACCACGAAGGCCTAAGGCCTAAACACCCATTGGGTACCGTGGGGCTATAGGGTGATACAGAGGAAAGGGGGAATGCCACATGGACTCTGGCGAGGGATCACGTGTGCATGCAACATACACACATTCTGGCTTCGCCTACGAGATCCGCCCGGTGGTACCTCCACGTTCGACAATCAGAGACCGTCTACCACCTACGGACAATCACAACATCCATAGCCAAAAGAAAAAATTTCTCCTGGGACGGGACTCGAACCCGCACAGCGCACGGCGACTGATCAGGAGACCGAAGAGTCTACTACTGCGGCCACCGCTGCTGCCTAGACAATTGAGTATAAACAATCCATTCTTTCATTGTTATGTTTGACAGCCCGCACATCCGCAGCTTTAAAGAAGTTTTATCTGTCAAATATTCTACGGCACTTAAATCCTACGAACTGTTCAATTTTGATCTGGTCGAACCTCGTGTCAGAGGCATTTAAAACACAAAATCTATTTTTTCTTCAAATAATACTATGCATGTTCCTACACTCACAGATTCCTTATTCGTCCACTGCCATGTTTTGTTGGCGATCAAGAAGTAAATAACACTAAGACCTATTACAAGCCATTGATCGCAGTCGCTCTATGCTCGGGAACCGAAAAGGAAGATATCAGGAAAACGTATTGCTCGCCCTTGCTAACGCGACATCTTTTTGAATACAATATATACCCCCTCTCCGACTTTGCCAATTTGAAAAGACATCGCGTTAGCATGGGCGTGCGATGTGTTTTGATGTTCTCTTCATTTTCGCTTCCCGAGTATATACGTAAGAGCGTGAAGGGTTAAATGTACACGCTCACAGAAATTTTTCTCACAGATAAAAGGCACATTTTTTTGAATGAAAGAAGTATGTCGCACCAAAACCTCTTGAAGAACGGAGGGCCGCAAATATTCTCAGGGGTAGGACGATTCTATAAAAATTGACAAAATGTTACACAAAATCATGCTAAATATGCTAATTTTAAGGTTGACATGGCCTCTCCTGAAACCGCCCCTGCGGGCGTTCATGAATAAGTCAGTAACCTGTCAATCACTTTTGGAAAAACCTTCGGACGCCGACGTTCCGCTTGTTGCACCAAAGTAAAAAAACACTCGAAAACTATAACGGTCTAGAAATCGAAAATAATGGACTTTTCATAATTACACAAGGGTTTCATTGTGAAACATTCAGACGCAGCCAAGATTGGAGATTCTAAGCTGTATCCACATCGGCGATTGCTTTTCCGTTTTAGTTCGATCCCATAGTAGTACTCCGCATATTCCTACACTCACAGATTCCATTGCCATGTGATATTACAAGCCGTCGATCGTACTCGCACTATGCTCGGGAACCGAAAAGGAAGAGAGCGGCAAAACACATCGCACATTGAATATATACCGCGTTAGCAAGGGCGTGCGATGGGTTTCGCTGTCTCGTGCCTTTTGGCTTCCCGAGTATATACGCTGCAGTAAGAGCATGGAGGGTCCAATATGTCGATTGGCGCCCGCAGGAATTGTTCTCACCGACAAGAGACAAATTTCTGTGAAAGAAAGAAGTGTCTCGAACCAAAACCTATTGAAAGACGGAGGGTCGCAAATTTTTTCATGGGCATAGCTGGTTTCTAAGAATCGGAAAAACGTTATACAAAATCATGCTAAATAATCAAATTTTAAGGTTTAACCGAATTCTCAGCGGAGCCACGGCCTGCGGGCGCTCATGAATATGTCTATAACTTGTAAGTCACTTTTGGAAAAAACCTTCAGCCCATGGACGCCGACGTATTAAGACCAAAAAATATCCGAGAGTCATGACGTCTTCAAGCGATGCTTTGCATTTTAATATTAAAATGGCCTAGTTATTTATAGTTCTCCAGACTAGTAGGGTTAAGCAAATTGATTTTTCCATTTCTTACATTGGTGTATGATCACTAAGACTAGCGTAATTCCGCTTCCTGCAGTTGAGGAATCTCAAATAATCAATGCATTGTACAGGGTGTTTCACAACTTATCCGACAAATTTCAACCACATTATGCACTGTTACGCAAGAAGTTGATTTATCAAAAAAAATGTAATAAGAGTCCTACAGAAATTAAGTTATAAACCTACATTTCAATCTAATAAATAGAAAAATAAATATCTGTATTCTGCGTTCATCGTCCTGATGTTAGAACACGGATTTATAATTTATTGAAGCAAATGTTGTACCAAGCAACTGACGAAAACAAAATTCCAGGAATTTTTTGTTTTTTCATACTAATAACTACGTGTAAATAAGGTTTAATCTCTATCGTGGGTAATTTGAATGAAGAACGATCGATTTTTGTGATGTTTTTTTTTTATATTCCAACTACCACGAAGGCCTAAGGCTTAAGCACCCATTGGGTACCGTGGGGCTATGGGGGATACAGGGTAAAGGGGGAACGCCACACGGACTCTGGCGAGGGAACACGTGTGCATGCAACATGCACACATTCTGGCTCCGAATACGAGATCCGCCGGGTGGTACCTCCGCGTTCTACAGTCAGAGACCGTCTACCAACTACGGACAATCACAACATCCATAGCCAAGAGAAAAAGTTCTCCTGGAACGGGACTCGAACCCGCACAGCGCATGGCGACTGATCAGGAGACCGAAGTTGTTCTTAATATCCGTGTCAGCCCTAATTTCATTCGCAGCGGTATAGACCCATTTCAAGGATGATGAGGACATTGTAGGGGGTGGATTTGTTAGTTCAATTGTTTTACGCGCACGTGCTAGTGAAGATTTGCGCCCCAGACGTGGAGTGGATTGGGGTCGCGTTCGCCCACAACGCGTTTAAAATGTCGCAGACAAAATTTTGGTTATTGTGGAAGAAAATCCGGGAATAAGCACAAGGCTGTTAGCCCAACAGGTCCCAGAAGTGTCACATGCAACAGCGTGGAGCATCATATATGAGGCCCAACTGTACCCTTATCACGTCCAGAGAGTCCAGGCATTGCTACTTAAAGACTTCCCCCTAAGAGTAAGATTTTGTGAGTGGTTGTTGCAAGAAAATGCTCGAGATGCCCGTCTCACAGCTGATATTTTGGCCACCGATCTAGCTATTTTTACTCGTAATGGGATAATCAATCTTCATAATGCACACGTTTGGTCCTTTGAGAATCCTCACGCAGTGGTTCAGAAACACTTCCAACATCGCTTTTCTTTAAACGTGTGGGCAGGTATTGTCGATGAACGTCTAACTGGATCGTCCATATTGCCAAATCGGATGGATGGTCACAAGTATTTGTAATTTATTCGGAATGATTTGCCGGTCTTTCTTGGAGATGTGGTTTCTGCACGATGGGACACTTCCGCATTTTCGTTTATAAGTTTGTGATTTTTTTAATCAGGTATACCAGATACGCTGTATCGGAAGGGGTGGACCAATTGCATGTCATCCACCGTCTCCCGATCTAAATCCTCTGGACTTCTTTTTATGATGATGCTTGAAAACCGATGTATACAGTACTCCAATTCAGAATATTGATGAATTGCGTGACCGAATCCCAGTGACTGCCGATAATTTGAGCCTTCAGGCACAGCAGGAAGGAGGTGTATTTGAATTAGTGCGCCGAAATTGGATTAGACGCGCCCAAGCTTGCATTGCAGTCAATGGAAACAATTTTGAACAGCTTTTATAAGAAACTGAACTGTTAAACTGTATTATTTTATTATCTCGATTTCTGTGTGAGTTTTATTACATTTTTTTTTTTTTGAGAAATAAACCTCTTTCGTAACAGTGCATATGTGGTTGAAATTTGTCGGATAAGTTGTGAAACACCCTGTATACATGTCTTGAAATAAAAAATAATGGAATTTTCATAATTAGACAAGAGTTTAATTGTGCGACATATAGAAGCAGTAAATATTGCAGATTCTAAGCTATATCCACATCTGCGATTGCCTTCCTGTTTTAGTTCGATCCCATTTCAATACACACAACTTTCAAGTACAGGTGACAATGTACTAATGTAAAAGGGGATGTTTAGGTAGCCAAAATATCAGAAAAGTTTACTATGTGGGTAATTGGCATATACAGATATGAAGCAAGAGAAAAATTATAATAGAAGGATAACATCATCCCGAACCACGAAACTCGGTCTAATTTAACTGAACCATAGGTGTAGGGGTTGAAATCCGCATGACCCTTACGATATCTTACCACAAGGTCCAGCGATTTGCCGTGTCCCTGTGGTATATAACACCGATTCCCGGGGGATGAAAGTCCATTCCTAATAGAATTAGCGAAGTTACTTGTGTGAACATTGTACGGGTCAAAGGGAGGTACAAGAGTATCATCGGAGGACATTACAAAGTGTTCAATATTGCTCCAGCAGTGATTTTGAGGAAAAGATACAAGAAGATGACTAACAGGGGACACCAGCTACCGGATTCTTCGTCTTCGCCACCAAAGTAGGTTTTATATTTTTCTCAAATGTTGAAATTTGATGATAATGTAGGTGACAGAGATGTTTCTCGGACCTCCATTGTCTATCAGGTTTTTTATTCACGACTTTTCGATTGATGTGATCTTCAATCGTCATCAGCTGAACAGTTCACAGATTGAAGATCACATCAATCGAAACGCCGTGAATCAAGAAAGCTTATAGATAATGGGAGTCCCAGAAACAACATCTCAATTTTTCTCATCATTATTCATTCATCATTCTCATTATTATTGTGATTGCACCAGTAGAAGGACTCTATCCTAAAAGTTTTTGCATCTGCATGAATGCAGCACTATTATCTGTACTAGCACAAATCATAAATAAACCACTATTTAGTTACATGTATTGTAAATGTTTGTAAGACTAGAGATAAATAGTTCCTTCTGTTTGATATTTTGACAGAAACTGAAAATTGATGATAATATGAAATTAATATTATAGTCGTGGGTAAGGTTCTCTACCTGCACAAACTAGTGCGAAGTTCGCGGCGATTTATTCAAGTCTGAATTATTAGATACTGTTATGTTCCTCTTTTAGGACGTACAGTGTGTTCCACTATAAATTGACTGTTTTGTATGACCGTTTAGGACAAATGTTGTAAGATCTAATATGAATATATAAAATATAAATATATATGCTTACGTAAACATATGTCAATTAATGTATTGTTTTTTTTTAATATTATAATAATAACTTTATAATTATAATTTGAAAAATAAGTAAATAGATTTAGGATAGAGATTATATTTTACTGATACGGTATTCAACATAGAGTAAAGGACAAAAATATTATATCTTACTAACATAACAAACTTATTTTAAATTTTTGGTACATATATTAAATTCAAATTAACAGTCTTCAGTCCATGAAACCCGAATCCATGATTCTAAGTTTTTGATGACATGGATTGCTTCGATTGCTGATCGCATTTTGGAATGTCTACGTCGTTCTCACCGAGCCATTCAACATCATGGTGCTCTAAATTTTGAATAATGCACATCAGTACATAAGCACGACGAGCAGCGACTCTTACAGGTCTAACTTTCCTATCAGTGTTTACTTTTCTATGGATATTTTCGATGTGTCGATTTAGTGGCTTGACGGAAGCATGATAAAGACCACATGTTTTGCATGTTCGACTTGATAGCCTCAATTTTACCGTCGGACAAAAATAATCGTAGGGCATTTGCAGGCAATCTTTGAGTGAAGCACTTAAGCGTAGAGATAAATAGACTGGAAGATTAAGAAATTGCCCTCCCTCATCCAAAACCAAGTCATCACATGTTTGTTTTACTTTTACTGGTGGTGGAAGAAACCTATTGTCTAGTAATCTAAATAGACCACTTCTTGGACGACAGCATTCTGTATTTCTACATTTTACAATTTGAAGCAAGTATTGGCTCTCACGCACATGTTGTGAATACCATTTAATCTCTGGAAAATCAGGAAGATCTTGTTCACCTGCACCAACTTATTTTGCATTAACATTATAGCCATCAATTTCCATACTTCAGCTAATATACTAAGTGACATATAAATCCGAACACTCAGTTTAAATGGTTTTATTTTAATAAAATTTTGTATAAGTACTTAATGAAGCATAATAAGTAAATGATAAAAATTTCAAAATGATTGCACTGCTTTAAAGCCCTTTGACCTTTAACAATGTGTGGATGCACCCTGATGTGCTACGCATTCTCCAACGCGTCTAGGCATGCTTCTGATCAGGTGGTCAATGTCCTCCTGTGGTATCTCATTCCAGGCAACCACCAACTCCTCTCGAAGTGCTTCTAGAGTCTGAGGAGGACGTTGCAAATTGAGCAATCTCCTACCCATCATATCCCACACGTGCTCAATTGGGGATAAGTCGGGAGATCTTGGTGGCCATGGTAACAATGTGACATCATTATGTTGAAAGAAGACTATTGTGACTCTTGCAACATGTGGTCGGGCATTATCTTGTTGGAAAGTTGGATCTGCCAGGGTGTCAAGATAGGGTAAAAGATGGGGTTCTAGAACTTCGTGGATATAACGCTGCGCGTTCATGTTACCTCTGGTGAAGATTAAAGGTGACCTGGAACCATAAGCTATAGCACCCCAAACCATAACTCCAACAGTGTGATGAACATGTGTTTCAACAAAAAACTGTGGATTCCTCCTTTCACCACGTCGCCTTCTAACCCTGGCACGACCATCGTGCATGCCTAAACAAAATCGAGACTCGTCACTAAAGGGAGGACCCAGTGTGGCCGGTATGAAAACAAGCCAAAACTTCTCATTCATCGGTAAACACTTCGCATGCCAATAGGTCTTCCGTGTTCTGCAAACCATTCATTTGCAATGGACCTGGTAGTGGAGAAACGGTCCCTTAAGGCCAATAATCTTAGGCGGCGATCTTCACGGTCTATTGTTCTACGGCGGCGTCCAGTGCCCCTTGCTCTTTGCGTACGGCCTTCTCGAAGCCATGCCTGACAACACCTAACCACAGTGTCTACACTTCTTTGCACTCTAACTGCAATTGCCCGAAAAGAAAGTCCAGCTTCCCGAAGTCCCACTATACGGCCCCTATCAAACTCACTAAGTTGACGAAATCGTACAGGTCTCCGTACTCTAGGCATCGTAACCGATCGTAAAGGATGTCAAGAACCAAAATCCGCCAACGTTGATTCTTTACTGCGGCTGAAATATTCATTTTTAGAGCGTTAGTGAATTAAAAAAAAGCAGTATAAAAACCGGAATGTCCAACTGTTAAGACTGAAAATTTTTTCACTTGTTATTTACAGTAAGATAAATACATTCACCAACTTTTATTAAAATAAGTTCTAGAAGCGTCTCGAAATCCTGAGCATGAGTATTAGCAGTAGATGAACTATACTTTCCACATCGAATAGCGATGTATGTTGGTCCAGAATATCCAACGGCTTACGGTTGTCCTAGCATATTGGAAGTGATTTTGATACCAGCATAAACAGATGGTATTAATTTATGACGCTCAGCGATTACCCAATCATGATCAGGCAATTTGATTCTATATTCCATGCGCGTTAGAAGACGTGCTTGCTTATTTGCCGCAGTTACGCCAATAGGGACTCGAGATGTATCATCTTAAGATATGAAAAATACTTGATCTGGTCCAAGTCTGGATGCTATGTTCTCTAAATAATGGATTGATATTTCAGCAAACTTGCTATATAAGTGGCTCTTGTGGTGATCAGTTTGAGCCCGAATGAGCTTAACAGGGACTGTCGATACATGTCTTCGTCCCTCTGCAGAATTAGATTTTCTGGGAATCAAACGAAGATATGTCCCACTGCGACTAATTTCAAATCCTATTTTACGTAATTCTTGTGTGGGTTCATCAAGAGTTTTTACTCTGCGAACTGATTCCGTTCGTCTTCTATCATCTGCTGCACTCCCAAATAAAGCTATATCCACGATTGTTTTCAATAGTGAATGTTGATTGCTTTCAAGATTAGGACGTCCCACTGAATCCCTCAGAGATAGTCTTTTTTTATTTCTGGATTTTCATGACAAATATCTTCTAATTTTCTTTTATTTTCATACGATCCCTGTGTTTCTTCTGGGCAACTGCATTTTGAACCTTCCTGTTTAAATACTGTTTTGCTGTTTTTATTTCCTCGCGCAACTTAAAGATCTGTTTATCAACATCAGCACGGCTCGGCATAGTATCTCTGGCAGAATACAAAGCATTCAGATTTTTTTCGAGCAGAGCAATCTCATTTTTCATAGTTTCCTGAGAAGGTTTTGCTCTCTGTTTATCTGTATTTTCATTAATTTCGCATTGCTGTTGTGATTCATTACCGGGTTTTATTTTATCTTCTTCCTCTTTTTTAATATTTGAAGCTGACTGTATAATTTGTGTTTTTTCTGCAGCTTTACAGGTTGCCTAAAAATAAAAACTTTCCATGGCTTCTGCTAAAGATTCTCTTATTAAGCTAGATAAATACAAAGTATGGCAATATATACGTATATGGTAAATACAAAACCCTATGGCTTTAAATCTAATATGTTTAAACGAGCAATTCGTTCCGGTCACAAAATACAGGGTGTTAGTTTTCTGTATATATGTATAAAACTAACATGCTGTACTTTGTGACCAATTGACGGAATCAATCATAAGAAATAAATCTATAATATAATGAATATTACCTCTATACTTTGAGATAGGCCATAATATTTTCTAATCAGTAAAGAGAAACTTTTTGGCGATTTCTAATATTTCTGTACTCATAGGTACCTAAAATGATTTCGTTACTCACCTTAGAAAAAAATTTAGTAGATTGGATTTATTCTTAGTCGCCGCTTGCAATTCTTCTTCGATTCTCTTAGATACAATAATATCTAGTTCCTTGTCGGATTTTGCTTGTAATTTGTAATTTCGCCACACTTCGTTAACTAACTTTTGTACATTTTGTACTTTCGTACTTGTATCAGATTTTTTAAAACTTTCAAACAATTTTTGGTATAACTTGGATTTGTCTATGTGAAACGATATCTTATTTAAACATTAAACTAATGGAATCAATGGTAACACAATTGTTAACTTGCTTTACTATGCTTACAATACGTCTATTCGCTATAGTATCCAAACGAAACAATACACTGATAGAGGAAATTTAGACAAGTGAACACCGCGCGGTAATTCCCCTACTCGGTTCTAAAGCGAGTAGGGGAATTACCGCGCGCTGTTCACTAAACATATGCATTATTTGCGGGAATCCCCGAAAATGCGTTTCGTTTTCAAGCAAAGACAATGTGAGGGTTGCCATTCGTGTAAAAAAGTAAATAACTACCGATGACGTAATCATCATCTAGACTCCCCTACCCTCCATGTCATCCAAAATAAGCAAAGCAAAGACCCCCCGACCCCCATAATGCTCAATGCCGGATACAAATGACAAATGATCAACATAATGAAAATAAGTATAACAAACTATATATATTTAAAATCAGAAAACAAGCGACTATCATATTCAACAAAAATATACAGTGTGTTCCAATCAATAAAATACAATCTTATACGATGGCACTTTTGTATTCCCTGAAAAACTTTATATTAGACCCTGCAACTTTTGTATATAACTTTTTTTCTAATAGGTCGCACAAAAAAGTTAAGAGGAAGTCAATTTATAGCGGGACAGGAGGTCAATCTTACTTTGATTAGGCAATCTCATTCATTGGAATATCGTTTTCTCTGACCAATAATTACATAATTTTGTCCATGAAACGGAGATGCTAATGTATGGACAAACAATCGCGATAACACAAAAAAATGAACTTTAGATAAATATGGCGTAATTAATATTGCATCGTTTAGTCGGGACAGTGCAATATCGGCTGTGAAGGAGATTGGTTTCAAAGAAAAAAAAAGCAATATACAGAGTAATGCACGAATTACGTTTGCTATGGTCATTGTCTTATTGATTTTAATGCAACAATAAATTAATATCAAATGTGTAATCAGAATCACAAAGAATAATACGTGAAGTATCTCACAGCCTGTGCTCAGTATCTTGACCGAGATCTTAACATATCTTCACCAAATCACTATTTATTCAGATTATTATACTTAAGGTAAAACAAAACACCAAGCAAACCTAAATCAAGGCGATCACGTTAAGAAAACAAATTTCGAATAAATGCACGACGCAAATGTCGTATTTATATACCTTCACTAATTTTGGCCGGACCTGCGATTGAGCCCTTCCGCACCAGTCCCCAGGTACCTCATTTCAAATTCAGACAATGATCTATCTCTGTACCAATTTCATCCACATCCGTTCAGCTATTTTGTCGTGATTGTGTAAGCAAACATACACATTTTTTCATTTATAATATTAGTAGTGAAGTAGGAATTCATACATTTGAGCAGAAAAGCCATATAAAGTACGAAACACAAAACTATAATGGTAATTAACAAGTCCATGGAGTAGCTCAAACTGTTTGACTGCATTTCTGCAATTGATACGTAATTATTTGTATAATCAAAAGATCCGCTTTGGAAATAAACATACTCTTTTTTAACATTTGCTTTTTGCATCGATGCATGATCAGTTTTCCTTTGAATGCACATTTTTGGTCACATATATAGTATCTACTATTTTCTATGATCCGTTAATTATAAAAAACACTAAAAAAAAATGTTTTCGGTCAGTCTCCGTAACATCACGACCTGATAGATCACTTGGTTTTGGAACTAAGTCAATTTATAGTTCCTCTACTCCAATCAGGATCTTAATTCATCGTTCAGCTATTTTCGTGAGGAATAACCCAGAAAAAGATACTTTCCCATATGAACGCGAATTTCCCAAAGTGGTGACGCAAGTACAATTATATTGGGTGGCGGATAGCATTGTATTAATTAAATTACCTATTTTAACAACTTCTGTAAACCTCTTCTGGTGATACCTATTTTGACCAGCAAATTACTATTACGTATAGACGTTGGATGGTAATAAATGGATCAAAGAAATTGCACTCACTCCCAGTATAGAGAGTAACGAGCAGAACAGCATAACTGTTACTATTTAAGAATAGACAGTCTCGTTAATCAGAACGTTCTGTTGAACGGATCTTGGACATGACGAAAGCTATAGATAGAAGATTTTTTTTAGCATGCGGAAAGTGACACCTCCCAAACCAATTGCGTGCGGAAAAGTGGCACTTTCAGAACGCTGGTAGAAAAAAAGAATCAATCCATGTTGCCCCCAGTTCAAAAAGTCATTGTGTAACTTCAGCATGTTTCACGATTGCTGTTTCATTTATCGTTATTTGTCGTTAAAAGAATTGAAGAGTTGTCAATGAAGATCCAAGATTAAGTGAATCAATATTTTCACACGAAATTATTTCGAAAATACACGAACGTCGTTTCCAACCGTTGAAAGTCGAGACGAAGGAAATCCTGAATGTAAGCTATTATATATGCAGTAGTTCGGTGAAAATTCTGTAGTCCATTATGCTGGTTAAGCTCGTTATTCTGTGGTCTATGCTTTGCCCCGACTATATGCTATCTTCTCATCGCCACGACCACAGCTGAACCCGCTTGCAAATCTGTCTGTCCACCTGTGTAACGCTGTGCCATTCTGTCTTCTCTTCCCTTCAAGCTCACAGCAATTTGGCTATAGCGCAGGCGCTGGAGCCGGGGCAGACCTCTCCGACGACGAGATGACCGACCTCCCCAGCTGCGCGTTCGCATCCAGGCCATCTTCAAATTCCTCTGGGATGCAACACCATTATCTGGCATCGCTTCATCATTCCGCAGGTATGGAAAACCAGATTTACGGTCGTTACGTGGTTTGTTTATTCATACCAATTTAACTGTTGTGAAAAAGAACCACAACAGCACCTATAATACGAAAAGGCGTAAAGACCAAAAATTTGATCTGCGATGTAGTATTTTCTAGTCTCTCATTCTCAAGTGAGCAAGATTTATACTTGGGAACTTATTTCTATTCTTAATTCCTCAAAAATGGTGCATGTGCAAATCGCGTTAGGAGCTCACCCACCATTTACTAAACACTGATACGTATATAGTTGTAGTTGCCGTTCTTGGCGGTTACGTCATCAACGCCATATGAAATAAGTAAACAGATTGAGTCTCCGTACTATCGGTCGATCTTAATTTTCCTGAGGGAAACCGATTCAAAATTATTTATTGATCGTAATGCTCAAAAATCATGTAATCTAGTACATAAACATGGGTAGAGTATGTAAACACTGGGCGCTGAAGAAAGACATTAAACGTAAACAGTGATCAGCACATGAACAGATCCCTCGAAAGCATCCACGGATATACTCCAGTCACTTTAGGTCTAAACATCCTCGGCAGTGTATTTCTAGTGAATCCACAGACCCTTTTTCGTGTCATCTTGAGACTAGAAAAAGGATGACTGTTAAAATAAGTTACCTTGATCTTTCATGAGCTCCCAGTACAAAACATCATCGATATATTTTTGATGTAGGAACAACAAATTGGTTTAGAAAACATCTACTTTGAACCTAAATTGACTGGAGTAACATCGATCTACAGACAAATTCAAGGTCACTAGCAGTCGTCGGCGCTCTACGAATCTGCACAGGTTTGGACTTGTAAACGTGATTGTAGATGACACGACAGGCATCTAACAGTTAATTCACGCACATGATTGCATTGCATACGCATTACGCATTCAGTAGCGTATACTCGTTTTTCGCGAGTGGAACGTTTTGTTTATATATTGCCTAAGATACGATGTCTGACACAGATACAGCCGACGAAGTGGTTGACATCAGCGCAACCCCACCCAAAAAAAGGGCTAAGAAGCTACATTTAAGTGCAAATGAAAAACAAATAATATTAAATATATACAAAAACCAAATTCAAGAAAAACCCGATTTGGTCGTGGAGGAAGTTATATGTAAGGTAGCACATATTTCTGGAGTATGTCGGTCCAGTGTTTATAGGATCATTAAGGAATATAGGAGCACTCACTCACTTTCTGAGCCAAAACCGTATCCTGCAAGAAAAAGGATAACGGACGGAGTAGATGACTTTGACAGAACTGCCATCAGGAGGAAAGTGCATAATTTTTTCTTCCGAAATGAGATACCTACAGTAGATAAGATATTAAGATTAGTTAATGCTGATGAGGATCTTCCATCATTTAAAAGAACCACATTCCGAAAACTTTTGAAGGAACTTAATTTTCGATTCTTGAAACGGGGAAGAAACAGTATGTTAATAGAGAAAGAAGAAATTGTTGTGTGGAGAAGGGAATACCTTAGGAAGATTCGGAAGTTTCGCGATGAAAAAAGAAAAATTTACTATTTGGACGAAACGTGGGTGAATGCTGGACATACTCAAGCGAAAGTTTGGGTCGACAAATCAGTAACATCATCAAGGCAGGCTTTTCTAGACGGTCTTTCGGCTGGATTGAAAAATCCTGCAGGTAAGCTCCTTCATCTATCCGGCAATTTAATTTTGATAAATTCGGGCAAATAATATGCTGTGATAGCAGATAATGTGTGATATTCTCCAAAAATGGTGCATTCGCAGTGTAGTCATTAGGAAAAAAACTTCGACCCTCTTTTAAGCGTTATTTTGAAATTTATTATCATTTTTGGGTGCAATCAATTTGCTTTGAATGGGTTTTGAGAAGTTGCAAACTTCAATTTTCTACGTTTTTCAGTTTTTGATCAGCATTCCGTGACTCTTAAATTCAGCTAAATGAACTCAATTGCCTCATTCCTTCAAATTTAATCAATCCATAGTGTAAGGAATAATTTATTTCCAGGAAAAGGCAAACGGCTGATCATTTGTCACGTAGGTAGTGAAGACGGCTTTGTTCCCGAAGCACTGTGGGCCTTTGAATCAAAAAAGACAGGGGACTATCATGAGGAGATGGACGGCAATTCCTTTGAAAATTGGTTCTCCAAAATGTTACTAAAGCTGGAGAATAACGCTGTTATTGTACTGGATAATGCCCCGTACCATTCTAGAAAAATAGAAAAAATTCCCACAATGGCAACTAAAAAAGCAAACATACAACAATGGCTGGCCTCAAAACAGATCGATTTTGATGAAACAATGGTCAAGGGTGAATTGATAAGTATAGTCAATAGACATAAATACAAATACGATTTTAAAATGATCGACGAAATGGCCAAAAAACAAAATAAAACTGTCTTGAGACTGCCACCCTACCATTGTGAGCTGAAACCTATTGAGCTGATTTGGGCCAACATAAAGCAATACGTGGCGTCGAATAATAATACTTATAAATTTTCTGATGTTAAAAATCTCTTTCACATCGCAGTCAATAGAGTTACGGCAGAGGAATGGAAAAACTGTATCCGCCACGTTCGGGAGAAGGTTGAGGTCAAAATGTGGGATTTGGACAATGTCATCGATACCCAAATTGAACCTCTAATAATTCATTTAAACGATTCAGAAGATTCAAGTTCCTCTTCTGAATGAGTGCGCGCAGCTTACTTACTAATAACTAAAAGGTGTAGTTAACTCATTTGTGAATCTCTAACTGAAATTTACTGTAAAAGATAATAATTATCTTGTATGAAATTTTTGATGACTACCCATAATATCTTGATGCGGTCCTGTAATGACTCCTGCGCCTAAACACTCACTCACGAGCAATATGCGTGTATTTGTTTGGGTTTAGTTTCTTTCTTCAGCGCCTAGAGTATAGTTGATGTTTTTTAAAGCTGAAATAAGAAATACATACGGAATTTACAATATAATATAAAATAATACATGTATTTGCTAACTTGATAAAGCATTCAACATTGGATGTGGATATGTGACAAGCTTATGAGAGCTTTAGAAGAACCATCTTCAATAATAAAAATGCTCAGTTCTTCCTGGAGTGAAATGCGACTCAATAAATTACTGCTAGACAGAAAATATATTTTGATGATGCCGCTCTTAAGCTCGAGCTTTTAAATCAATGTCGCCTTAATAAACATCAAGCTTGTAACTTCCATATCTATCAATATATCTTACAATCTATCTACAGGGTGTTTCAGTTTATTGTTGCATAACTTTAAGATTCGATAGAACTTTTAAAATTAATGCATAAAGTCTATATAAACATGGGTCGCAAAATGCGTGGCTTCCGAAATACGGGTGTTTAAATTTACTTTCTAAAATAGTTTTTTTTTAAATATTTCGAACAATATTTGATGTATAAAAGTGAAAATTGGTATACAAGGGTTTTTTGGTACGACAAAACGAACCATGGGCATAGTTTTACTGTAGCCGCTAGAGGGCGCTCTCTACTGTACCTGTAGTGTATTAAAATGACCGAAAAATTTTTCTTAGTGCAATTTTTTGCTGTTTGAATAAAAAACTGATTCTTTGCACTTTTCTGCATAAAAAAGGCGTCGTGTGAGTTTTCGTTATAGTTAGCCGTTTTTTAAAATATTTCTATTTTTAAGGTTCGATGCATTTTTAACTATTTATGATAAAATAACGTTAAAAAGTCAGTATCTCGATAATTTTTAGAAGTAGGCTGTGCCTGCAAACATTTTTGAAATTGAAAGCAGAATAAGGTTAAACGTCAATTAGTTGACAGTTAGTTTTGTTGTCTGTTGAAACCTGAAACGTTTTTTTGCAATTGTGAATGCACGAAATTTAGTTTCTTTTACCTGTTTTTTTTGTAAGTTTTATAAAAATGCCATTTTTATTCTCCAATCAAGAGTTAGCCGATATTCATTTTGTGTATGGCTTTGTAAATGGAAGCGCAGCAGAAGCAGCCCGAGAATACGCACGAAAATTTCCAAACAGACGACATCCAACTCGCTCAGTATTTGTAAGAGTGCATTGCCAAATAATTGAAAATGGATTACATAAATGTTCGTCAGCGCAGATTTACCCGTATGATTCTGCGTGAGTTTGATAGAGATCCGACCACAAGTGTTAGGAGAGTTTCTGGTGCCTTGGGAATTTCAGCAAGCCATGTTCACCGTGTTCTTAGAAATGACCATAGACGTCCTTACCATTTGCAAACTGTGCAAGGACTACAGCCAGGGGACGGAGAACGAAGAATCACATTTTGACAGTGGATTCTTGATAGAACTGATAAAAAAAAAAAATTTCATAATCAACATATTTGGTCGCATGAAAATCCACATGCAATTCGGGAAAGAAATTTTCAGCATGAATTTAGTGTGAACGTGTGGATTGGTATCTACCGTAATCGACTATTTGGACCCTACCTTTTGCCTGCAAGATTAAATGCTGCGACCTTCTTGGATGTTATGTTAGATTTAAGAAGATTGGCCTGGTTCCAGCCTGATGGTTATTCGAGAATAGTTAGAAACTGGCTGGACGAAAATTATCCAGAAAGATGGATCGGCCGTGGAGGACCAGTCGTCTGGCCTCCACGATCCCCTGACCTAAATCCATTAGATTTCTTTGTGTGGGGATTTCTAAAAGAAAAAGTGTACCAGACACCCGTAACCACAAGAGATATGCTAATAGACAGAATAAGGAATGTGTGTGATGAAATAAGGCCTTCGATCATTCGTAGATGTGAATTGTGTATTGAACAATTGGGTTTACATTTCGAGCAACTACTTTAGATTTTGTATGTTTGTCCTAACTATCCAATAGCATTTTAGTTGTAAATAATTAATTTAATTTGTTAAAAATAATACTGGAAAATTAAACAAATTAATATTCTGTTTTTTGTGTTTATTTGGAGTTCGGAATTATTGCTGTGTTTAAAAACACAATCTAAACGATCATCTTAATTACTTAATTACCATAAATAATTAAAAATGCATTGAACCTTAAAAATCGAATTATCTCAAAAACGGCTAATGATAACGAAAACTCACAGGAGAGCTTTTTTATGTTGAAAAGTGCGAAGAATCAGTTTTTTGCCCATGGTTCGTTTTGTCGTACCAAAAAACCCTTATATACCAATTTTCACTGTTATACATCAAATATTGTTCAAAATATTTAAAAAAAACTATTTTAGAAAGTACATTTAAACACCCTGTATTTCAGAAGCCACGCATCTTTCGACCCATGTTTATATAGACTTTATGCATTAATTTTAAAAGTTCTATCGAATCTTAAGGTTATGCAACAATAAACTGAAACACCCTGTATATTAAGGTGCACATATAGAAAATTACAAATTTTCAAAATTGTTTCAATAAAAGTATGAATTATTGGATTTCTTCATCAGAGTAATCTGAACTTTCTTCCAAGTGAATGATTATACTAGTCTCCTCCCTATTAAACACTTGATGCTTGTCCCAGTCGTTTTTAATAAAGTCCTCGGTACGTTTAACACACTTGGACCAAACGGTAGGAATCACCTTTGTTAGAGCATCCTCCTAAACTTCAAAACTTGCTTGTCACCATAGCCATTTTACCCAATGTGACGATCATAGTACTGTTTGGCCATTCACCAGACTAACTCAATAGGGTATTGACAATGGTTAGAGCGAGCCGCAAAATTTGATGTAAATGTTCATGTAATATTTCGTCTATATATCTTGGAGCCGATGATTTATTAGGGCGACATAGATTTCAAAGCACGAGTTTAATAGCGCCATCATCAAAATGTATCTTTTTGTCTTGCAGCCATTGCTTCAATTTTACTCCAACTGGAATTGGGCATTTTTTCTGTCAAGGCACTATGATAAGAAGCATTATCTATGATGACTAAAGATGGCTCTTGTAACGCTGGTATCAGTTTCTCATTTTTTGAAAGAATCTTTGTCCACGGAATCGTGGTAGTCAGCACTTTTTGATGTGTAGCAAATAACAGTGCAAAAAACCGTTTTTGGTCTCGGCAACATACCGTTTGCCGGTACCCTGATGGCCGCTTTTCAAACTCTTTTCGTCTTTATGAGAGGGCTTGTACTATTCAGGTTATTCATATAATATCTCATGAAATAGATACGCTTGGAAAAAGTCTGATTTTTCACGGATTGGCGGTTATCTTCTGTCTTGTATACAAAACCGCAGGCTTTCAATAGACGCCTTAAAATTGAATCAGAGGCGTTGTATATGTATTTTTTTTAAGCTTCTGATTGAGCGCAGAGGTCGTGATATGTTGTCCTTTACTTCTCATATCGCAGATAGTATCTCTAATTTCTGTTTGCGGCATCACTTACATCATCGGTCTTGCATTTTTTGATTTTGTGGGTTTCCAAAGGTGTTACTATGGGCAAACCTTTCTTATTTTCTGATTTTATTCAGCACATACGTGACTCTCTCCAGTACGCATAAAGTGAGTAACAGGGGACCGCTGTTTTCATTCTCTTACTGGAAATACTCTAATAAATTTAGCACGAGCTGTCGGCCTTCGCTATTAATCCTATTTCCGGGCATTGTACAATTTGATATTGAAGATTTATAACAGGACAACTCAAATTGCACGCCTATGTCAAGTAAGTTGTCACTCTGACAAATATGATTGAAGGGCACTCATACGTAACGACAAAGTTTTCGAGACAGAGACACACAACTAGAAAACGTATGTCTCTGAGCTTACCGAAAAAACGTTCACACACAGGGGTAGGTTGCATGTGTATGTATGAGGGAGATGGGGAAATATAAAAGGGATACTGGTAGTCTTACTTTGACCCGCCAAGAATTTGCCGATATGCGGTAAACAATATATAAAAATATATATTATCGTAAATTGTCGCGATCTAACCTCTTTTGTACTTCTTGCATAGGATACAAATGTTGTACTAACTAACGAGTTTGCCAGTCTTTTAATTTGTTTTTTTTTTCAATGTGCAATATTTTCGTACAGTATTGAAGTCAATGCCTTAAAAACAAATAAAGACGATACTCACACTAGAGTCTTCCTTTAGATTTTAAGGGTTTCCACAGCTGTGGAACAATGAAAAGGATCACTCATTCAAATGCTGTGCGCCGATCTCTGATCTAGGAGTCGATACAAACTTCCGGTTTTTTTAATTAATTAGCACATACGCATATCCGACGATAGGAGGGGAACGTTTTCTAAAGACAGACGTTCAAATGTAATTGGTTCTTTGGAACAGTATTTTGAAAATGGTTCCATTATAGCGGTTTTTCTACTATACATCATTTCAGGCTTACATAAATGTGTTAGAGCCCACATAAAGGGCAACGTGTTTACCCTTGATATCCTGATTATGCACAGAAAAAACATCAATATATCGGCCTTTGAAATATTGGCATCAGCCGATCATATTATCGGTAGGGATACACCGAGTACTCGGTTTGTACCCGGTACTCGGCATACTCGGTCCATTTTACAGAGTACTCGGTTTTGTCGAGTATTAAATTACTCGGCCGTTAGTTACTCGGTCTTAACAAGGTCCACAATTTCTGTAAATCAAAGAATTGCGGATATGATGTACAAAGTCTGTATTCGCCTTTTGCCTTTTCCAGATATATAGTCCAAAAATAGCTAAAGTTACAGCTTATTTTTGTCAGAATCAGTTGTTGTCGCCCATCTTCACCAGTAAGCTAGTGTATTAACGGTATTTTCGTGGCTTATTTTTAATTAGAAGGTGTCATTATTCCTTTTTTTTTGTAAAAAACACGGTAGGTGCATGAAGCAGCTTCTTCAGCAGTGTAAGACTTGAGCCTTTTGGCATCTTCGATTTGCCCTTTTACTTTTTATTTGAACACCAAAAACAGCAAAAACCACAAAATAAAGTGAACAAAATGTAGCGAGCTGAAAAATAACGTAAATAGCGAGTCTCTCCCGTTTCTGTAAAGAAAACATTTACTCATAGATAAGGAAATTTTAGGTTTAGTCCTTTGTGTTCTTTTGTATGACCTTCTCCCTAAGGCATCGTAGAAACCTATAGGATTTAAACGATGTCCTGTTCTGTATGACATGGCAAGGATTCTATTAGGTAATTTTTCGAAATTTGAGAAGCTTGGAGCCTCGCGTTATCTACGGTCAACAAAAATGTAGGTTTAATATGTCGAGTATATACTATTTGGATGTCTTACAAATGTGTTTCTTTTGTAATGGGAATGATTGCAAAGTAGGTATATCAAAAATAAATTAATGTTTCAAACGTATGGTTTCTATTCTAACTCAGTTTTGAAGCTGCTGAATTTCGCAGTGAAAAAGCATATACTCGTAAATTCTGAAAATACCGTAAATACACTAAACCACGTCCCTTCACTGACAAAAAATGATCTAAGCTGCACAACTGTTTTTTATGGTGCGTTAGAAACTCAAATATATCCTTACCTTAGCTAATAGTAGTTGAAATAACCCAGAGTAAATCACCGCTTGTGGAACAGAGAAATAAAGAATTGGGAAGAGAAAATTGTGAAATAATCCTAATAGAGCTGCTTACAATACAAAATACTCTTATTGACACATACACATAAAAAAATTAAAAACCCGTTATACAACATTTATACAAAATTACAATGATGTCATATGTACTGTATCTTGGTCTCGGGTCTCCATTCTTTTTTTTGATAAAATGTTGATATGACAAATTAATATGTGACTGCTGCACAAAGGTATTGCTTGAAAACAATTTGCATCAATAAAAAAGTAAGTCCTTTTATTTGAAGCTGTAACGAAATTTTAGTTTGTAAAGCTACAAGAGCATTTTTAGTTATTAAGTTTTGAGTTATTAAGATCCTTTCAACTTGTCTATTGTTAATTTCTCAAAAGTGAACTTTATAACGGTAACTTATTCGGACTATACTTTATTGAATTGTTTTGGCAAAATATCAAAGTATAAATAGAACATTCTATATAATATTACCATTATCATGTACAATCGATAACAGAAAAAAGTGTTAGGCAAATATTCTAAAGAAAACGCTGTAATACAATAAATTTCATACCGGCGAGCGGAACATTTGTCACCGAGTGACGCCATCCGCAAAGGGGTACGAAATTCCATCGCGAAGTGAGCATGCCTTCTTGAGTTATAGTATCATGCGTTGAACGTTCATAAAAGTATATTTTGCAGATAGTCCTTGCAATGGAGCCGGAGCGGGCGTGGGAGGAGTTCTGCCGCCAAGTGGAGGAGGTGGTACCGAATATTATGGTTCCTCGCCTTACCGAGTCCAGAGACATGCAGCCAATATCCGCGAAAGGAAAAGGATGCTGAGGTCTGCTATTGGACCCACCGGGTACAACCTGTCTTGTGTGTGTCAAGTCAATGTGTTACCTTTCCTATAGTTTATTTAGCACAAACGTAGACTCAGAGAACGCCACAAATTGCAGCTGTACCGCGTATTCCATTATTTAGTTCCGACCTATATATTTTATCTTGTTTATGACATAAAAATAAGTCAACTGCGGTCATCATTTCATAATAGAGTTTTTAGAGCTCTTGTTTTTCTGCTTCATTAAGAACTTCGCAGTAGAGAGACAATGGACAATTTTATCATTTTTTTGTTATTAGCTCAAATGAAGGCTTAGGAAAATGAAACAAGATGGATAAAAAATTATTAATTTATCTCTAAAAACAAAAAATTTACAGCCCATCAAAGTTGCGCCCCGCGAGAATATTTTTATTCCGTCTGTACGTTACGTGTGACGTCACACTTCAGAATTCAGTATCCAGTTGCAAAGCCCGCGGCCGATTCCTGGGCCCGAGCCGACTCAATCTCCTAAACACATGCATAGGCACACATACAGCGGGACACATGGTAGGCTAAATATCTTCCGCCCCAATTTGTTTAATTAGTTGACTGCATATATGATCCGTTATGAGCGAGATAAGAAAAAAAGCTTGTTATAAACTGTACCGTTCCAAAATGTACGAGCACAACAATTACAACCCCTAATAAAAAAAAATTCTACGTACCTTCAAATGCCATAATGGTATGAACTTATGCAGTACTCAATAGTTATGAACTGGAAACCACCTGTCCGAGCGCACAGGTGTGCCTTATGTTGTCTATAGACTAATGACTAAACGCACAGACGCTATCGAACACCTACGCGACGAGACGCTGGGCACTAGAGAAGTGTGACGTCAGACGCGAACGAACGGCAGCTATGATTTCGCGCTATACTGCGCCAAATTTAAGTATCAATTTCTCGGTCATTTATTGGCCGATTTCAATAATTTTTTCACTGGCTGATTATAATTAGTCTATATTTTACTGGTATGTCATTACTTATGCGATTCTAAATATCACGAAACTTCTCCATTCTCCGTTATGGAAATAAAAAAGTTCCCTTAGTTACGAAGAATATGGGAGGGCTTATTTCGTAAGGTTATACTTTCCTTATTCAGCGCCATTAGTGGAATTTGTAAAGTTGGATAAGCTTAATTAAAACACTTTCATGATATGCAAACATATTGGTTGAAATATATCTAATAGAAATATTAGTTTCAGATACAGTTCTAAATAAATTGAATTGTCCTGATTTTTGATATACATATATGCAATGTGGCAAGACACTCTTTCATTGTAGATCAGCTGATTATGTGGTCACTAGTGCTTCTGTTGGTCTGTGATCCTAAATTCATTCATTTCTTGTCCGGTTTGTTCACAGATATTACCGAAACCTTTCCATGAAAACATTATCAAGGTTTTAATTTTTCGTCGACATGCGTTATTTGCTGTTCCTCTCAAAAATAACGTCAAACTATGTCTCAGATCGCTATATTAGAGCAGATTGAGCCAATGTACGGTGACCGATTAGATCTCTACAATCGTTCTTAAAAATATTTATGGAGCTTGAAAATTTTGCAACTAGAATTTGAAAATTTGACAGAATTTCAAAATAATATAAAAAGTTGGTTATTCAATAAAGCTGTTGCATACCACTGTATAAAACGTATTTTGTCTTCTCTGAGTATTAAGTCAACCATAGCATTGATATAAAAATGTTTGTGTCGAGATTGATATTCTAGTTAGCATGGTGCATTTCCCCATAACTTTCCATTCTTCCAGCAGTTTTATTGTAGGTAACCATCGTCCGCATGAATTAATTATTAATGTAAACTAAATCAAATAATGAAATTGCTTACTCAACACATTGCTGTTGCGAATATTTTACTTCTCATGCCCACTGGCGAGAAAGTATTGTAATCGCAAAAAATTTCGATAATGAGTACCTATTATGTTTTTGGATGTACATGACACGTACATTACAAGAAACCATGCTACTTTTGTCTATCTGTCCGCAAATCCTTGGCCCGTCTATAACTTGGAAAGTACTGCTCAGATCTGGGTTAAATTTTTACACAAGGCTACTACTACGCCAAGGACGGAGAAGCCTTATAGCTTTTGAAAAGCGGTCTAGTGCAGAAAAACTGATAAAATGTCAACTTGTTGACTGTATTTGTACTTTAGATACTTGTGTATCTTAAATAAATCACATATCTGTGTTACATCCGGTAAAAACGGCATCTCGTAGTACATGAGCTGTAGATAGACTAGACTAGATACACATCTTTTCGAATATGTCATAACTAGCGTAACTAACCCTAGTTTGGTCTACAGCAGTATAAACTCCGCTTTCGACGAGTTGCGCATGCACGTGCCCACCTTTCCCTACGAAAAAAGGCTTAGCAAGATTGACACCCTGCGATTGGCTATCGCGTACATCGCGCTGCTCAGGGAGGTGCTCACGGCTGACTGTGATCCGTTGACCTACGTCGAGAGGTGTCTCAGAGGCGAGATCAAGGCGGATAGGGCCAACTGGAATACCAGCGGTAAGACAAATATCGTTCACTAATTATTAGAGTAGTAGTAGAAAGTAGGAATTCAGAAAGCTACAGGAGCCCTTGCCCTTGTTTATTATTTATTTACATTCACGCTACGAGTATCAGACTAGACTATAAAAGGCAATCCACTATGAAAATTAAAAGAGGGAGTCTGAATCTCTGGTGAGGCATTTTTATAAAACATTTTCAAAATTACGAATCTCAAAAGTATTTTCCAAAACCGTTAAAAACAGGAACTTAAGAAATATCAAATGAAGAAAATCGAGTATCTGGCTGATTTAGTATTTTACTTCACACGCTAAATGACAAGAAAGGATTGTAATCGCGAAGAAATTTGAAAATGAGATATTTTTTGAAGGTTACCTGACAAGTACATCGCGGAAAATCTTTACTTATTTCTCTCAATCATGTGTCTATCAGCTGTCCGCTAATGCTTGGACCCCTATAACTCGAGTAGTTCTCAGATTTTGTGAGGTTTGAAAACAGATAAAGTGGCGACTGAGCTACGGTCAAAAAGCGAAGAGAATAAAAGCCGCCCAAATTTCGTTTTTCAATAATTCATAGACTCCTGCTCATTTTTGTAAATCACCTGGGGGAGGGGGGGGGTATATTAAAGGTGGGTTGTTGCAGGTGTTGGGGGAGTGGTTATTAGATGTTTAGCTGTGAGCGCCATATAATGTAGTGACCACTAAAATTCTGCTTAATAAAGATTGCGAAAGAACCACCGATGTTGATTGTTGAACACCACCAAAAAAACGTAATAGCTTGTAACTAAATATCATTTCCAACAATGAATTTCTGATAGTCAATTTAGAATGGACTAAATCAGTTCAGCTTGCAGTTAGACTCCATATTTGGATGACTATATCGGAGTCTTTGATATAAATTCGTTGTTGAAAATAATCGTTGTTTTCTTATTTCATTTATGCATCATCAGATCACTTCAGTTTTCCATGTCATAAAACATATTTTTGACAATGCATTTACAATCGAAGCTTTCTCATTCTTTTATCTTTGTTTGTTCCAGATTTAACTGCTAGATTATCGTGGATAAACTGGGAAAACCTTGGAGTTTCTCCTGGCCGAAGAAGCGCTCTTACATCTTTAGCTCTGTCGTCGGAAAATGTTAACTAGTCTTAGCAATTTTTTATTGTTTATATCTATGTGTACCACCATGTGCAATATCAGTTTTCTTTTGTAATAATAAACGAATATATGAAAACGTTTCTTTATTCATAAAAAATATAGTTCTCAGCTATGTACAGGCTAAATTACATTTGTATACATATTTGGGTACTGTCGCACTAAAATAACAGGTAACAAACAGTATAATAAATAAAAGTGTAAGTAAATCGCTAACCTAAATAATGTTTTTTAATCCTTTTACTCCGCGCATTACAAATATGGTAATGGCGTCAAATAACTTATACATATAAAAAATGGTTTTGTAGGAAATGATTCGTATATACATTCAAGTAAACCAATAAAATGAACAGTAGATGAAAGGCACCTAATTTAGGATTGTTTCCTAATTTCGGATACCGATGTATTTGCAGAAACACCTTTGAGCGAATGTCAGAAGTTATGCACATTTGTGGAAGACCATTGTAGAAACCTTTCTGTTTAATTTATGGTTTCATATTTCCGCTAGGACCAAAATCGCAACGCTTTAAACGATTTCACGTTACGGCTCTCATTAGAATTTTGTTCGTTTCATTATTGTGAAAATCCTATTGTAAATATACGAACAGGTAGGTGAGATATCCTAGCTTTGACACACACATGTAAATTTGATTGTATCTTATGTTATTTTGTTTAACCTAACCTAAAAAGTGTTGTTTGTCCAATTTCGGATAGAACACGAAGCTCAAATTCGGAAGTCTGAAATTGGGACACTAATTTTAATGAAATTTACACTAATATTCTTAATTTTATAAATGCCCAGAAGAAGTAAGAAACATAAAGAATGGTCTCCAGAAAACATGCAAAAGGCTGTTGCGGCTGTAAAAAAAGGAAATGGACTATTTAAAAGCTTCACGTACGTATAACGTCTCAAAGTCTACTTTAAAAGACTACGTCAAACATTCAAGTTCACCAGCTCCCCCTGGGAGAAAACCTGCATAGCCACTACAGTTAGAAGAATCCTGAGTTCATTACTGCTTAGATATGGATCGACGATTCTTTGGTTTAACTACACTTGATATAAGAAGGCGTGCATACCCTCCCACATACATGTTCCCAAGAAAAAGGCCTCGCAGGGAAAAAATGGTAAAAGGGCTTTCTAAACCGCCTGTCAAATTTAACAGTATGCATACCTCAAGGTCTACCGAAAGCTAGAATAAAGGGCTTTACACAAGAAAATGTTGATCGTTTTTTCGATTTACTTGAGCCGGCCTTGGAAACAATAAAATTGAATGCATTAAGAATCCACAATGTCGACGAAACCGGCATAACAATGGTGCAATCAAAACTCACACAGAGTTATTTCTCTAAAAGGGAAAAAGCAAGTTTGCGCGATCACTGCTGCTGAAAGAGGTGCGTTAGTTACCGTTGTGTTCTGCATGAATGCCGCTGGGGGATTTGTTCCACCATTATTCGTTTTTCCCTGCAAGAGCATGAAAAATAAATTATTGGATGTTGCTCCTCCTGGGTCCATAACCGCCTGTTCCCCTTCTGGCTGGATACAGCAAAATATATTTACCCAGTGGTTTGATTGCACATGTTAAAGCAATACGAGAGGATCCGGTCTTACTTATCCTTGATGGCCACTACAGCCACACTAGAAACTTGAAACTAATTATAACGGCTCATAACCATCACGTAACAATCTTCTGCATCCCTCCCCATACCTCACACAAACTGCAGCCATTAGACTTGTCTTTTAGGTATGTCTCCTTTCAACACTCATTATTCACAAACCAATACAATCGTGGTTCAAAAATAACCTAGGTCGCAGCATGCCTGCTTATCAGATCTGCAGTTTGATGTGCCAAGCATACCTAAAATGTGCAAATGCACAAATTTCTGTACGTGGATTTCGAAAGTCCAGAATATCTCCCCATAACCGAAATATTTTTTTGGAATTAGACTTTATTACAGAGAGACAAAGATAATGAACCCCACCCCAAGAAGAAGAAATGATAGGAAATAGAGACCAAAGAGAACCCATTGAGAAGACACCTGAAAAGAAGGGACGAGACATTGATGGTAAAAGATCTGAGGCGGAAAATAATTCAAAACATATTAGTAATCTCGTAATATCATTGCTATTCCATCATGCAGCGGAATGAAAAATTTAGGCCAAGGCAATCGGAAAGGAAGGCGAGGGGCAAGTATGTCATCAATAGCACACCCCTTACAAGGATGACCTTGAAACTAGCTTAACAGAAATGGAAAGAAGGGAGTCGCTAAAGAATTAAAAAAAGTGTGAAAAGAGAGTTTAAGCCAGTCTAAAACGAAGAAAAAAGGTAAAGCAATGATTAAAAAGCTTAAAGTAACGAAAGAAAAAGAAGCCAACCTAAACTTGGGTCGACGATTTATCCAGCGATTCCGACGAGGATCCTGTAATTAATTATGATCTGATATGGACGCAAGTGATTTGGATGTAGAGAGTTTGGTTTGTTATGGTCTATTTTCGGAGGACGTCAGAGGAGAACAATGGATCAGATGTAGGAAATGTCACAAATTGGTGCACGAGGAATGTGCTAAAAGTGACAAGCCCAAAGAATATATCTGCCACGTTTGTTTGGAATAATTTTTTTCGATTGTGGGCAATATATATTTTTGTAACCGAAATTTGTAAAAATACATACTTTTGGTTTTGTTCTCCACAATGTATTAACATGTTAAAATAAAAATTATTTTACTATATATTGTTTGTTACTATAACCCATTGAATCACAACCTGAAATACCAAAATAAAATATAGGATCGTTTTCAAAAAAAATAAAGAAAAATAAAAAACTGTCCGAAATTAGGTGCCTTTCCCTTATAATTTCTTCGATTTTTTCAAATATAACACTTTTCTCCTGTATGAAAAATAACAAATGCCGTTTCTCCACATTAAATAAGTAAATTTTCCAAATTAGTAATGAGAATTCAAAAACTATTTCTGAATAGTTTTTCATGTGAACATGCACAATCACAGACACTGGATAAAATAATCATGGCATAGTCTCTTATGCAAAGTATATCCTACAGTGTGTAGTTTTGGAATTAGAAAGGTTAAACAATTATCGCAGATTAAATGATTAATTATTTTCAAAATGTTTGGATAACATTTTTTGCGATCTATCCAACAACACTTTACGAAATCTGCAGAAAATAACTACTTCATCACAAATGCTCAAGAACCACCGCATCACCATTTTATACTTGATAAATATTAAATGTTTACATAACAGCCTGCGATTCGTCCCTCTCTCTGCAGCTTCTGTCAAGGAACAAAAAATAAAAAACATTTTTCTGAATTTAAACAATGACAACTGATCCAAACTTCAAACAAATTTCTCTTTATATCTAAAAGTACAGTATTTTTAAACATATCCCTATTGAAGAAAATAAATATAAACGTGTCATATCTGCTAAGTTTATTTGCTGCTTGACTGTTACTGGAGTTTAGGATCACAGATCACTCCAAAATGCGTCTAAAGGAGGATTAGTCTATTTGCATTCATAACGGCAGTAGATATTAACCTCAGTTGTTTTCTTAAAATCTATTTTCTATATCTTCATTTCTGTCGTTCTTTTCCATCGATTCGTTCATATTACTCGTACTTAACTGGCAATGTAACAGCTATGCCAGCTAAGGAAGCATCTCTATAACATGAGACTGAGTCACACATCCCTATTTAGAGGATGTGAACAGGAAGATGAGATACTAGAGCACTTGCTTTGCGACTGTCTAGATGTCCTATCCATCCGAGAATCCATTCTGGGTGAATGTTTGCCCTCTATGGCTAACATAAGGGAAACTCTTGGTCGTATCACCACCTTTGTCAATAGTGTGGGGTCGTACAAGGGGCTCAATGGGGCCTATGAGCTGAGATCCAGGTTGATTGCCCTTGCTCCTATACAGCATAACTGTACATTTGCATTTGATTTGTCTAAGACTAACTACAAGAGAGGTGTGGTGGTGAGCCTTTTTCCTTTGTCTATAGGCATACATTTTTGTTTCCTTTATGATACTTTTTGTCTATAGCCACTGTTCTCTGTCACATCGCATATAAGAATTCTGTTCCCTTCACTCACCCACTATGAATTTGAAATCTGCATCGCATTTTCAACACTTCATCAGTCAGATATAATCATTCTAACCAGTCTTCTTTTCCTCTTCACTGGTGTTTTGGTGGTAGCTCCAACAGTACTACCTTTATTAACATTCACATTAATACCTGCTGTCTCATTTGTATCACTAACACCTGTAGCACCACTTGTATTTGTACAAGTAGAACTCACATTATTAGTACTATTTACATTTTCACTAGGAGATGCCGCACTACTAGGCTCTGTAGCACCAATTCTGTTTTTGCAAGTAGTACTTACAGTATCAGTGCCACTTCTATTCTCGCTAATAAATGCTGCACCACTAGCATCTGTGGTTCTAGGACCTTCAACATTCCCAGGAACGTTAACGTCAACACCTTTAGCAGATGTCACATGGATAGGAGATGAAGATACCTTGTACATAAGATTTTCAAAAGACAAGTCATTACTTGAAGTCTTGACAATACTCCCTTCCCCCTTACTATTGTTCTCATCTTGGATCTTAGGAAGCTCACACTCCATATTTGACAGAGTCATAGTATCAATAAGTCTCATCAAACTGCTATCAGGATTTCTCAGATCTTCGTTGGGAAGACCATCAATGTGGCTTTCTTCAATATGAAGCAAAGGTATATCACCTTCATGTGTCAGATGGAGGTTTTGCTCGATGAGGAGGTTTTTTTCATGTTTATCAGCAACAGGTGGCTCACATTTCTTCAACATATCCTCAAAATTGGTTGGCTTATTAAAACGAGCAACTGGTGTGGGCGTTATACGTTTTTTGATTGCATTTTTTTTATTTTCTGGGGTAGATTTCATAGGCACAGTTGTGCTGTGATTTGCGGAAGCATCATTCAAAATGGCCTTACATTCAACTACAACAGTAACATGATGACTTGCACTGGTATTATTTGTATTAATAGTTGTTCTATCTACATTTTGTTTACTTGGGTCATCATTTTGCTGTTTAGTTTTGTCATTCTCACAATTTTCGGCGGATGAAGTAGTTTCCAAATTTTTTTCCACCACAGATTTTTTCTTTGACGGTTTAGCTTTTTCCGAGAGATCTTTTTTTACTTTGTTGCTTTCCGTATGGCTGGCAGCAACTACATCGTCAATCTGTTTGTTCAATTTATCAAAACCTTTCAAACAGTCAGGAGTATCTGTTTTCTTTTCGTCACTTCGCCCATCTGTATAACTTTCATTTGTTTTGACTTTTATAGCTTCCTTATCTGATTCGCTTTTTACACTTGTCGATCTACTTCTATGCCTTTTGCTTGAAGTATTCTGTTCAACTACCTTTTTCGTTGTACTTGTTCTAAGTGTAGTAGTTTCTTTTTGTTCTTCTACCTCCACAGGTCTTTTATTTGCAGTATTCTCCAGCTTTGAATTCTTTTTCTGACAGGAATTATCATTTCTATCCACCTCTATGTTGTTATTGTCTTTTATTTCTTGGCAACTATCTTGTTTTGTATCACTTTGAGAATCATAAGTCTTGAGATTCGTATTACTTCTGGCTGTTTCAGTAGCGTTTGATTCTTGATTATCAGCAACATTATGGGTAGATTTGATTTCTTGCTGTGACCCTGTATTTATATCACTTGCATCCATAGATTCGTTAAAGAGACTCTTAATTTTCTCTTTCAAATTATTTGAAAGTGGTGGTTTTACTGTGGTTCTGTTTCTAGGGCTTGTCCTAGTTCCTCTTTTTGGACGATTACTTTCAGCATTGATCTTTTCTTCTTCAACATTATCTTTTCTAATCGTATCTCGACTTTCACTTGATGCATTGATTACTATGACATTAGCTTGTTCCGGTTGAACGTTCGATTGGCCCTTCTTAGAATTTTTATTAGACTTTCTATGTGTTTTACTTTCCTCATCCTTGCTTGCTTTATGCTCTTCATTTATCGCGATCTGCCCCTCAGACTTGTTGTCTCCAACTGAATTTGAGTTACTGTCCTTTTCAACACAGGTGCCATCTTTATTTCCAACAATTTCATCACCTTTACGTTTTTCTTCTAGTGTAACATCTCTTAAAAGTAGCAATCCCACAGATGCTTCTTTTCTGTTTTTATCTTCATTGTCCTCACAATTTCGCACCGATTCTATTCCAATTTCATTGTTATCCTTAATGGCTACATTTGTGTTACATTTACTTTCACCAACACTTTCATTAGCAGTGTTACCTTCCTTAAGAACTGCTGGTGGTGGTCGTGTATCTTTACTTCGGAAAATTAATCCTTCTGCCTCCAAATCCTTTTGAATCTGTTCTTTGGTTACCAAGCTTTTGCATGGTTCAGTCTGTATTCCAGTATGTGAATCTGCTGGCTTCTTCAAATTTGAAAGTCTAACTTTATACGTATCCAGAGTAATTTTCTTTACACTGTCTACTTTGCTATTTATATTATCGCGATCAGTTGATTTTGACTCGATTTGAAGTGGGTTTAACACATCCATGGCACTTTCTGTTGAACATCTATTAGACACTTTGTTTTTGTCTTTTTTTCCTTCCGAATATAGGAATTTTTTAATCTCACTGAGATCATCCGAATATTCAGCTTCTTCAGAACCCTTTCTGCTAAGTGGTTCTTCCGGAGTTAAACTCCGTGCGGTTTCACTTTTTTTATCTGATCCATCAGACAGTACAATGTTACTCAAAACTAGAATTTTCTTATTATCTGTTGATTCTGTTTCTTCGACAGAGATGGCCGTTTTTGATTGAGAATCAGTCGAAGTGCCTGAAAATTTAGCATTCCGTATATTTTTTCGGGGGGACCTGCTCATAGATTCTTCTAATTTCTGGACCACCTTAAGTTTTTTTCTAACAACCAGTTTACTGACCTGCACGTAGGATTGGGGATCTTCTTTCCGCGCAACTTCTGGGTTTGGATTTTCAGGCAGTTCTCCCTCCTCAGTAGATTTACTAGAATAGAAACTGTACATGAGAACAAATTTCAATTACAGAATATGAAGCAATTCATGAATACATACAAATGAACGATCAATTTTCATGAATGTTCGGGAACACTATAGGCACAATCAAACAGTTAACAAAGCTGAGTCTGGCATATATCAAAATGGTGAGCATCATGAAACGTCTGAATGTGTGTGAACACCAGTAAATCTCAACGTTTTAGAGACTTTCACGAATACCTTTTGCTCCTCACTGAGATGAGCAAGATTCATATCTTTTGGCACCCAAATATAATGATAGTCCAATTATTTGAAGAATTATCTTGTGGGATCATGAGATTGAGTGCTGATGTCATATGACACCAGCGACAAGCGCTACTATAAACAAATGTAGCTCCGCTTCTTTTTTTACTATATACGGTAAAGATGGGTCAGACCGTTGAGTTAACAAATACTGTATTGTACCTATGTGTATAAATACATTCATATAGGCTCTAGAAAAACATATTTACATGTGCCAAAACATAGAAGAATTAGAAGGAAGTGGACAATAAATCTGCCTCCTTTAGAAATGCAATTGTACAGCTGTAAATATCATTTTCAGGTTGGCAGGTATTTAGTTAATATGGTAAAAAGGATCAACATAAACATTAGTGTATGTGTCTATTGTGATGGATAAATAACCTAATTGGTGTAAATGACAACAGGGATAGATTTATCACTTGTTTGAAGCCTTAGCAATGTTGCAACTGTCTTTAATCCATGTCGGCTGAGTTGCATTTCAAAGTTCAAATAGATATCAAATTTCAAAATGTATGTTTTGGTGAAATTGCGGATCTTTTGGTTAACACGAGATTATGTACACGATTTTAAAAGTCAGAAGCTACACAATTCATTCAAAATTTCACAATGCACATCAAAATATACACATACAGTGCAACCTCTTTGATAGGAACACTCTGTTGCAAGCGGTCGTTCCGATTAGCGGTAGGAATAAAGATAGCATATAATTTTTTTAATATCACTTTATTTTACACATAATGCGAAATCATGAAGTGAAAAAATGAAATATTTTATTAATAACACTTTTTTCAACAACAGTAGCTACATATTTCCTCGAATATACATATTATGTGATTAAGAATCTCTCAATAGATAGGTATGTACATATTATTTCCCATTTGTTGAAATGTTAGCAAAAAACTTGTAATTTTTTTTGTATTTCACTTTTAATTTTCAAATCCAATGCCTGGCTGCCAAGTTCTTGGGGTAAAATTACTGCTTGTCCATGGTTTACCAAAACCGATTTTATATTTGCAATTTCTTGATTATCGGAATCATCGCCAATTTCTTGAATTATTTCGTCATCTGTCAGAAGCACATCGCCTAGTTCATTTTGACCAACAGTCCACTCTTCAATTTCATTATTTGTATGAGATCCATCCAAATTTTTACTGATTTGTATTGTAATTTATTTTTAAATGCAGTTGGTTCTTTTTCTGCTATAATTTGTCTAGCTAGACCAGAATTTTTCAATAAATCCACACGAACATGTTGCCAGGCTTCAACCAAGGAGAAGACAATCTATTTTTTTAAGTTGTTGTTTTTTACAGTTTCGGGAATATGGGTTTCAGAATCCACAATCTTTTTTAGTAAATTTTACCTATAAAATAATTCCATACTTTGAATAACGTGCTGATCCATGGGCTGCAATAGTGGTGCACAATTTAAGAAAGAACTGTAATTTGTCCATCATCACTGGTTAAATCGGTCGGATGTCCCGGCGCATTGTCCAATATCAAAACCGTCTTTTCACAAAGGTTAAGTTCCTTCAATTTAACAAATTCAACCTGGAACCATTCCATAAAAATGTCTTTTGGAACGCAGCCTTTCTTTAGTCCTTTGTACAAACAAGAACATACGAATTTGCTGGTGGCTTCATATTTTTACCAAAATCCGCCAGTCTTAGCTTGTGGGTTCCAGATGCATTGCTACAAGGCATAAAGTAATCCTCCTCTTCCACAGTATGTGCCAAAGTTTCATTCGGCAGTACTTTCCAAAAAAGTCCACTTTCGTCTACATTGTAAAGTTGATCGGCATTCAGGTTATTTTCTTCAATTATTCGCTGAAGCTTATCTATAAACGGCATCACTACATCCTAATCACTTGAGAGTGATTCCCCACTAATGGTCAACTACCGAATATCAAATCTCTTCTTAAATTTTTGTAGCCATCCTTGACTTGCTTTGAAGTCTTCCTTTTTAGTTATAGATTGATAAAAACTCTTAGCTTTTTGGGTTACCCACGAATTAGCAAATTTTCTGGTAAAAATAATCAACTCATCAAAAAAATGTATTCATAATTACGCGCCTCTTGACACGCTCTTGTAGAAACCAGGTAAATAACGTCTTTTCGATTGCAGGATTAGCACTGAGTTTCAAAGTATTTCGGTTCGAAGGACCTACATCTGAGTTACCGACGTATTCCAAGATTTCGCTCGATTTTCATTCACGGTACTAACAGTCGTTTTACCCACTCCATATTGTAACGCTATAACAGAATAACTTTTGCCGCGATCTATTTCTTTTATAAACTGTACTTTTTCCGTTAGATCCAGAGTGTCATGTTTTCTTTTTGATATCTTTAAAAATTTGAAACAAAAATTAAATCGATATATAGAATAAAAGTTTGCTGATAATCGTCAAACGCTGGATACCTACTACCACTTAATAGTAAACTCGACAAAACAAACTTGTGTTGTCTCGGCTAGACTGTGCTTCCCAGAAGTTACCAAGAGTTATTCGCTGCAGATAACGCAACGTTCCGATTAGCGAGGTTCGTTCCGATTATGACGTTCGATTGTCTGCGTTCCGATTACTATATGTTCCGATTAAAGTGTGTTTTCCGATTACAGAGGTTGCACTGTATTTAGTAACTGCAATCTATTAAGCTAGGTTAGAGAAATCAAAGAAAACCTATTATATAGCAAAATATTCCAGAAATTTCATATTTGCATTCATTCTTAGTCCCATTTCTTTCTGGTTCTAAAATCGTTTTTCCATAAAAAATGGTTGGTTCCGAGTCCCGAGTTATTTCACATCTCTGCGAGAATGCACGTTGCGATCGATTCGACGGTCCCCACCACCCACTTCGCACATAGCGATAAGGAAACTTGCGAATAATAAACAAATTGATATCTTATGCAAATATTGAAGCAAAAAAATACTAACTAACATTTCCTGGGACACCGTTTCATCCTTTGGCGCATCCCTGCTCTTATGACGTCTTTCTCTCGAACGATTTCTTTCTGATCTATGATCTCTTGATCTCTCCCTATCCCTCTCATTGTTGGATGTCCTTTCTCTAGATTTGGCTCTGTCTCGTCCAAAGTTTCTATCTCTTGGGTGTCGATCTCTTATTCCATCTGAAAGAAAAAAAATATTAAAAGGCTTAATTCTTGACTCATATGAAAAACATTGCATCAAGTAGGTTTCTCCACAAAATAGTAAAGATCATACTGAGCACTCTAACAGACTCTGAGTTTCTGATACTTTCAAATAATAGTTATTCTAAAAAATACATACCTCTCCCTCCTCTATATCCCCTGTCATCATACATATCGGGTTCTTTATGATATGCCCATCCTAATCTATTCTTAGGGTGATCATGCCAATTTCTATCTCTTCTTTCAGTATCAAATTCTCCATATCTTCTGTCCCTATATCCTCTTGTTCTTTCAAATTCCTCTTGCCGATTCCTACTGTAATGCCTGTCATCACCCAGTCTATTTTCTAATTCTCTTCCCCTAAGGGAGTCAATGTCACTTCTTCTGTCCTCAATATCTGGAGTATCATGTCTGTCATCTGTCTCATCATTGAATCTTTGCCTTTTCTGAGTAGAACTATGCCGTTCATATGCGTCTTCCCTATAGCCCCTAGTTCTTTCATATTCCTCTTGCTTCTGCCTACTAGACTGTTCATTACTATCTTTCTCGCTATTCTGTGTATTTTCCACTTCTCTATCTCTATTGGGATCATTACTTGTTTTTTCTACACTATCAGGGGTGTCCTGTCTGTCACCTATTTGATCATTGTCCCTTTTCCTTTTCTCATTATTATCAAGTAATTCATATTTTTCTTTCCTAGAACCTCGGTTTTCGTCAACTTTCAGCTTACGTGTACTGAACTGTGTCATAGATCCGTCACTTTCTCCATGATTAAAGCCAATACTTTGATGTGGATGTTGCCAGTTGCCATATTGTTCTTCTGAAATTTCATATCGTGCACGTTTTACTTGATGAAACTGCGGGTGGCCTGGTGCGGGTCTTTTCCGTCTGAATTTGAAATCATCCAACTCTCTTTGCAATTCAGCAATTTGCCTATTCTTTCTATCTATTTCTGCTTTGGCAGTAAGATATAATGATGATATATTTTTCTCCAAGTTCTCTTGGACCTTTTTAAGAGTTACAATGGCCTTAGTTAGTTTTTCAATATCTCGCTCCAGTGAAGTGATGTGGTCCTTAAGCATGGAATTTTCTGTCTTCAACTGTAACATTTAAACCTATGGTGTGTAATTTATTCACCTTCATCATAAAAAGGTAGTAATGACTACATAAAGTTAACCTAATTCTAAACAGTTGATATTGTTCTATTGACTGACTTCCGCATATGCATACTATCACAATGACTGGCAATACTGTTTTTTCTCCTAGTCGCCTATGACTCCTCTTAATAATTTGTTCATAATCAAGTGGTACATCATACGATTATATACAACTATCAGATTTGTTTCTCAAACATGTTTAAAAGAAAAATAAATAGATATCTTTGTATCTCAATCTTTTTTTAAGTTATTGACTGAAAATGTCCGCACGCACCTGAGCGCTCTGGTGTTCACTTTTCAAAAGCGTTTCGAAAAGCTTCTTAAATATTGCTCTTCAGTTGTTCTATAGTGCTTGGTTTGTTGGAATTTTCTTAGGAAGCCCCTCAGAAATATGTCTGAGGCACTTAAAACTGATGTTCTTGGAAGACAGATGATATCATCCAGTCATAGAGCAAATGCTCAGAAGACAAACATTTACCTACCTATGTAATATGATGCTCTGTACATTTTTTACAAGTTAAGTTGTTCAATTTTAGAATCAAACAATCAATTTGACAGCTTGATTTGATATAGATTATGCTAATGTAATGTATTTCGATTATACTATACACATTTGTATAAGCATTAAAAAAAGGGCGTCAAGTATGTTGACAGGACACTTCTCACACAGCGCCGTCATCAAAGGATTATGTTCGGCACAAGGGACTCAGAAAAAAGTTAGATACGAACATGTATAACAGAGAAACTGAGATCAAGTCAGTCAAAGATTCTCCCACAGTCCATAGACATCATTTCCTTATCCTACTAGCAGTCCATATGTTAATTTCGGTTCTAACCGATACGTGGTGGCATAACGCGTCAATTGCGGCAGTAACGTCAAAGCACCTAAAAAGACCGGAACACTTGCTAGTACAGAAAAAGCAACGACGCGTATCGGGAACATTTTTCTATAAGGGCAAGTGTATGGGAAAATCTATGATGTGCGAAATTTAATAAATGCGTAGAACTATCAAAGTTGAGAGCGTATTGAACATCAAAAAAAAAAATATATCCCAAATTTTATTACCAAATGATCTCCTGAAACGTCAAAAACCGAAGTTTAAACATTTCTATTTAATTTTTTCCATTTTTGACCGTTTTTTCGCCGTCACTGGACCGATTTTCGAACGCTTCAAAGTTTTTTCGTCCATGGCATAGAAGTAACCTTGTGTAGAGATTTCATCAAAATCCGAGCAGTACTTTCCAAGTTATAGATGGGCTGACAGTTGGTGGGTAGACAGCAAGACAAAAATGAGTGATATGTTTTTGTGAAGTGTACAAGTCGTATCATATCCAAAAAACAGATCTAATTTTCGAAATTTTTCGCGATTAGATACTTCCTCGCCAGTAGGCACGATAAATGAAACAAAAAAATTGCTGTGTACATTCAACATACTTGTATCTTAGAAAAGTTTTAGAAGCTACAAAGCTTTTCACAGTATCTTAATAACATACACCAGTGAAATTACCTAAAGCGTCTTAAAAAAATTAAAATCCAATGTTATGCCAAACGTAATTTACTTACTGACTGTCACTGGCATGCGTAACTGTCATATTGCAAAACTCTAACAATTTTAAAATTTAACAGCTTAACCCACAAGAAATGTGGTTCCAGGGTGAAGCAACTTGAAAAGTGATGTAGAAAATCGTTTTAGTGATTTGATCTCCCTGTTAGATAATGATATCTCAGCTCCCAGATCATTTTGCAGCCTCACACATCTTTCTGTGATCTCTTAAGACTGGGGTTGTGCCAACAAATCAAACACTATATTGCAGCTGAAGAGCAATATTCAGTAATATTTTCAAGATATTTATCCAAAAATTAACCAAAAAGTGCTAAAAAAACTAATCCAGAAAACTCAGGATTGTGTGGCTCAGAAAAACAGATGTTCATGTTATATTTGTAATTCATAAATGAGAGAAAAAATACACACCTTTTCAACTTCCTTCCCTAAATCAAAATCTTCAATGTCATCATACATGTGATCATTGTCTGAATCAGGAAGTTCACCAGGCTCTTCTAAATCTGAATCGTGCTTATCCATTTTGTTGTCAATATAAACTGGAATAAAACGTAAATCCATAATACATTTCTGAGTGCAATAAAATTTGTAAAAAACTTGACTGCTCTACTTTAAACATCTGCTGGAATTACTAGACTAGACATCAAAAATTTTATGTAGTATATTAGGTTGAGTAATCTCAACTCATTACTGGGATATTTGAAGAATGGTACATTTCTAGAACCATGCTTATCAATATTTTTGCTCAAGGAATGTCAGATTGTGGTTTGATAAGGAACTTCATTGTATACCTGCATAGTACTTTGGAAAAAATCCAATCTAGATTTATTTTAACATAAAACTAGCTGCACATTATAGTTACCAATGTTTTATAACTATTCAGTTGTTGCTAGTAGAGCTACCAATCTACCATATTGTTACCAGGTTGCTGCATGTTAATATTCATGCTCTGCTGGCCAAATGAAATGAGATATAGAAATGAAAATAAAATTTATGGTGGTTGAAAAATGAAAGTGAAATTTTGCAAGACATGGATCAACAAGACAACCACAGTTTCAGATGTTACATCAATGCACATTATATTATAACAAGAGCTCTAGTGAGGGACACTTAGTGAACACTGGATTTTTTCTTTGCATTTTCAAGTTTGTTTCTTCTGCCATTTATACATCATTTGGAAATCTTCAACTTTCAATGAGTTTTTGGGGACTCCAGGACTATGATAAGGACACAGCAGTACAGCAAAAAGTTATGTGATATAGATTTGGGGTATACCTAGCTTCAGGGTTTGACCAACTATTTACCCACAATTAATACTGTTAAAATTAACCCCAACATTGAACAGTTCCTTCAAAAAAAATATGTGGTTTTTAAACAAATATGTAAATTCTAAGGTGAGTCAACTATACTCATTCACAGCTTTATCATACCATTTTTGGATTGTTGTTTGATATTTTTCATTTTTACTTGTAGAGATTTTAAAACCTGATCTAAAAAAAATAAAGATAGATACAAAATGAAAATAGACCAACACCAACTTTACTAAACCAAAAAAGCTCGGAATGGAAATCTAGGTAGCTTCTATAGAACTTACCTTCTTTAATATGCTAGATTACTGAAAGGCACCAGTTTCTGTTTTTAAAGCTAGTCCGAAACCGAAAGCTAATGGCCAAAAAGTACGCCGTATAAATAGGAAATATAAAATACCAAAACAAAATCCCATGTAGAGCGGGCTGGTGGCTGGCGCTTTTTCTTACGTCAACGTCAACAACGTCAGATGTCACACGATTTCAGCGGGAAAATTGAAAATTCTAGCTCTTAAACACCTTGAATGTAGCACTGCTTGCGACGTTGTCACGTTAGGCAAAATGTACAGATTTTCAGGTACAGGTGCTCACAGCTGAGAACAATTACCCGACTCCCTTAAAAAGAAAGTCGTATTTTTCGTGAGTGGGTAAAATAAAGAAAAGCAAATGAGTACCTTCTTTGTAAAACACATTTCTTTTCTATAACAAGTGAAAAATACACCGGAATGCATGCCAGCAAACTGCAAAAGTGCTTAGTCTTGAGTGTAGATCCATATGATAAATTAGAAAATTTAATTTTTAGGTTATGGTCTGATCAAGGTCAGCTCAGCAGTTCTTAAGTGGGTCAGACACCCACTGATTTGATAGCTTCATAGCAGTTTGGACTGTCTTATACTCCTTTAATAAAACGAATGAGAAAAATCTGATTTTTTATAATACTATTGAGAAAAAAGTGAAACATACATCAAGAAACATCCATTACATCACGACCCTACGTACATCTGGGTCTGAATTTGGCATTGTTAAGCTTTCATCATCAAGCCAATTGGTTCCTAATAACCCAGCACAAAAGCAATGGAAATTTACGTTTTATGGAATTAGATTACCGTGTTCAGAAACACGACTTAATAATATATTATACTTATACTTTTGATTATTCCATAGCATACGACTTCCAGCTAAAACCCTGCAATCACCAGACAGACAGAAAGTATTTATTTGGTGCAACCGTTACGTACCATCAGGGTTATTACGAAAAAACTTATATGTCAAAAAACCGATAAAACGTCAACTTGTTGACTACGTAGGCTAGTGTGCAAATAGTTCATTCCGCGCTTGCTAAAAGTGAGCATGAAATGAACGATAGCTAGTTAAAAGTTGACGTCTTTACATAATGTCAAAAAAACCGACATAATGTCAAAAAAACGACATTTCACTTTTCAAGTTACGTAATACCTCTGCGAAACGGGTTAGCTTTGGCGTATTAATGTTAATTCCTAGAGGTAGGGCAAGGCCTTTGTTATGACATTATCACCTCATAAGTCTCATATTGCTTTCTGGATATATAAAGATACTAACAAGCAGTCTTAAGTCATACAAAATTAAAGAGTGAAGGGGAGGATTGAGTTTCCTAGTACGTTTTCTTAGAAATTTCATTTGATTTTGGGACGTTATGGCAAAGATGGAGCAGTATCTTAAAAATTATAACCTGTTTTTTCTTCAATCTCTATGGCTGTCAGCATAATAAGCCTCATTCAGTTCGGAACTGTTTCTAAACTTACGACCATCAGTACTCATTCAAATATCCGCGGACAATTTGGCAACGCAGCTAATAAAAAAGTTCACCGCATACCTTTCGGTTGTTCGCGTTGTGCGTTCTTTGCAAGAGTGTCCAAAGGCGTATTGTGAGCCGTTCGTTTTGTCGAGTTGTCATACACTTCTCGTGAAGTTTTCCAACTTCGGTTTTCGGGAAAATCCGGTAAAAACGACGGGTGCGAACTTCGGCAAAACATGTAATAGTGCCCGGATAGGCTTGTGAGTGCTGTGAACGTTACCTAGCGAACAATTGTGGATGAATGTCTGTGTTTTTCAAAACTGGATAATACACAACAGGTAAAAGTGTTGTTTTTACATTGTTTTGTGAATCTAGTACGTCAATTAGCATGTTTTTACGTTTCTTTACTGATATGGATGTCGCCGTACTGGTTAAATAACTATTATAGATAATTCTAGTATAATTAAGAAAGTTTGGAACTACCTAAAACTGTTCATCGACAGGTAAAAGCCATGTTTACACCGTGTAAAAAGGTACACGAGGTTTAAATGCCTACTTTATAGTTGGCTTGATTAAAATTTGATTATAATTGAAGATTGTCGCATGCCTCTTTGAATTTGAACGTTAAGGAGCGTTCTTGAAAGAATGTAATATAGAGGCATCAAGAATAATAATTACCTTTACTGTGAGACTACGTGGGCAGCGTTTCAACTTCCCAGCAACAATAAACAAAGGCATGTATCCAAACTTTACATGCGTATAATGCCATAAGTGGTCGAATGATTAGAACGTTTTGTTTTTTGAGGAGAATTTCATATTTATTTGTACACGCTTGGTTGGCGATAGGTTACTACGAGTACCTATGTATCGGGAAATCAGGATTAGCAGCAGTTTGCGATGAATGGTTGGAGCAAATGAATGATTTTGATGAATGGTGATTCAGGTGTAGGCGGTCAAGTGCCTTGATCTTGGAATCTTTATAAGCGCCAACTTTGCGGTCATTATTTTCTTACTTTCATCTACATGTGTATTTAATTTTTAATATAATACGAATCATGATGATTCAGTGGTCTCTTATGACTCACACTATCCTTGTACAATTAAGTTAGCGAAAAACTACTGCTGCATTTCATACCTGATATCCGGTAATTTGGATTTTATACTGTCTTCGAGGTTTTCGAGCATCTCAGTAACAATTAGATTCGACATACCCAAAAATTGTCAATAGGTATGATAAAAATACTATATCACCTAAGATAAAAATCAGTTGCGAACTGTAGAATTAAAAAGGTGAGTTTATATATATGTTTGCTAATTACACTGGCAGTTTTCGGATATTAGAAAAATTGCATCTTTACTTGCCCATTTTGCTACCCGATCTCGTATGACCGCACAGGGCTGCGTTTTTAAATTGTTACAGAGTGTACTTTGTACTACTCTGTAAAACTTTTAGCGTTCGTAATTGTTTGACGTACCTGTTACATGCGTTTAGAAATAAAGAGAACAAAGTAATCGAACGTCAAAAGTGTGTTTTTCTTCCAGAGCTCAAAACCTTGGGAATAAGAATTTAATCACTTGTCATTGTCATGGTTCATTGTTTTTCATTTTATTTGGTTATCAGAAACTGCTCAAAATTGGCAGAATATATATTTTTGATGATGATGCTAAAACGTGGTTAGAAATTAGTCGGCTGTCATCAAGTTGTTCTAAAAATAAAGTTTTACAGTATTCCAGAGTAAAGTTTCATCTGTCAATTTACATTCCATCACGGCGTATACGGTATTGCATTGCCGAGTGATTTACAAACGCACCCCAGAATGTTGGATGTCAACTCAAAAATCAATGCAAAGGTTACTGAGATAGCATGGCCATCAATGGACTGACATGCGGAATTAGCCATTGAGTGAAATAATGTTCGCAATATTTGACGTGTAAACCTAAAACATCCTGAATTCAAATATTTTATTATAAATATTTTCGATATATTGCATTGCTTGACACAAGGCTTGATATGTTCTTGTGCAGGAAAGGAAGTTCATAGTTGTATGAAAATGTGGCCTTGAATCGAAGCTGTTCTATCACGGAATGTAGATGCAGAAAGCGCGAAAGTAATTTTGTGCTATCATCAACATTAATAATCAAGCAGAATTGCACATCAACCTTGTGTTGCCGTCTCAGTAGACTACACAGACGAACAAGTTTGGAAACACTTCAGGCTGGGCCTCGCACTGTGATAAAAATTAAATTATGGAATTCAGACCTAAAATTATTTCTTCACAAAAGCTATCAAAATTATTTTTTGGAATAACAAAATTATTCGAGTAGTCAAACCAATAATGCTTAAACTTTTTCTACTTCATTTGATTTTCTTTTTTTCTATATTCCTTCCTTTCTTTTCTTTTCCCCCTTGTATTTGTCTGTGGTATCTGGGTAACCAGACGGGACTATACTTTTAACTAAGAGCAAAGATCCACCGGATTGCTCAAACGAACAACGACGAATAGTCAGAACACCAAGGACATTATCACGTCGCTCATTACTTGTCTCTATACATCAAATGCTGTAATTTTCAGGCCAGTTTTGGACCTACCTGTTTTTTAATAAATTTCAATAGAAGTTAATTAGCTAAGAATAAACATATCATTAAATAATCATTACATTTTGATTTTTGCTATACAAGTTTCAAAATTAACTTGGTCTAGCTTCACGGTAATTACAGAACTTCTGGATATTATGTTATAGTTGTAAACAATTTGTTGGGAATGGTTGAGATGTTTGTTCATCTCGTGGCCATTTACATGAGATACACAAAAGGCGTCTGTATCTCCAGTTCGGAAAATTCAAAATTCAGGGATTTCTGAAAACATATGACTCCAGATTACAGGTCAGACAAGCTAAGATCGTTGATTGTTGCCATTGCAGTACAAAATATTAAAACAAATATTAGTTCATTACCCACGTACTCTACTTCTAATTTAGAAACAAACACAAAATGAACTTATCGGATAACTTACTTCTACCCACGAAAGTATTTGCCAATCTTTTCTGGCAGGCAGAAGTGAGGGGTGTTATATGTTGCTAGACTTTTACAACTATTATACCAAATGTTAAGCTGGTAAGTGAGTATCTCTGCTCGAATATACTAAGTGACATATAAATCCGAACACCCAGTTTAAATGGTTTTGTTTTAATAAAAGTTGGTGAATGTATTTATCTTACTGTAAATAACAAGTGAAAAAATTTTCAGCCTTATCAGTTGGACATTCCGGTTTTTATACTGCTTTTTTTTAATTCACTAACGCTCTAAAAATGAATATTTCAGCCGCAGTAAAGAATCAACGTTGGCGGATTTTGGTTCTTGACATCCTTTACGATCCGCTACGATGCCTAGAGTACGGAGACCTGTACGATTTCGTCAACTTAGTGAGTTTGATAGGGGCCGTATAGTGGGACTTCGGGAAGCTGGACTTTCATTTCGGGCAATTGCAGTTAGAGTGCAAAGAAGTGTAGACACTGTGGTTAGGTGTTGTCAGGCATGGCTTCGAGAAGGCCGTACGCTAAGAGCAAGGGGCACTGGACGCCGCCGTAGAACAACAGACCGTGAAGATCGCCGGCTAAGATTATTGGCCTTAAGGGACCGTTTCTCCACTACCAGGTCCATTGCAAATGAATGGTTT